GCTATTTGAAGTGACTTTTTCTGGCCAGTGAATCCCTATTTTTGGTCTTTTTTTCTTTTTCTTTTTCTTTTTGCCGGAGTATGTGGTGGTGATGTGTGTGTGGCACACATACACACGCACGCACACACACGCACACACACACACACACACACACACACACACACACACACACACACACATACGCTCTGTCTCTATGTTACGCATTCCATCTCGATTTCTGTCTTCATCTCTCTATCTATCTCTCTATTTACTTTTGAAAGAATAGTTTCTGAGTTCTTCAAACCGACCTCACAGTCTTCTTCATAAAGTCGGTGTAGGTGGCAGGATGCAACCTCGACGCAGACAGGATGCTTGGCACCCGTTCAGTCTCGGCTAGCTTGGATAGCAGCGTGCCTCGAATAGCTGTGTCTTATGTGAAGGTCTACAGCCGGGCCTGGTATGGCGATAGGTGGGAGCGGTGACACCATCTTGCTAATCTATAATGGCCTTCCTGCGCGTTCTTGAGCGGGTGGAGGTCCCAGGGAGAGCACACGGCGGCACATGCGACGTTGAGAGAGAGGAGCGGAGCGCATCTAGAGCGGCCATCCGCTTCCCATAGGCCTGATCGAAGTGTGACGGAGGGATCACTCGGGGTGGATCGGGACGGTGGAATCGTGCCAGTCTTGGCTCGGGATGCGATGCAAAGACAAGGTTCACGTACACTGTGCATACGGTCTACTCGGTTAGCTTGGGACAAAAAGGCACGGGTCCAGTAGATACGATAATAATGGGAGCACCGTGCGCTCCTTTAATCGTTTTGGGGAAAGAACAATCTAATTACGTGACAGCACGTGTCTGTTTGAACCTCGATCCTTTTGCCCTATCCTGTGTTTCTCCATACTAATTCGCGACCTTCAACCCACCATCATCATCTCACACCAAAACACTTCGGTGACCCACATGGATTAAAATGTAGAATCCTAATAATTATTAACGTGGTCTGCATTCCTGCCAAGACATCCTGGGCCTGATCTTTGTTTTCGCAGTTAAAGTGATGTTTGCGTTCTTCTTTCCCCTTCCACGTGGCCACCCGCGAGTGTTTTCGGTCAGGGTCGAGTTTCTGTGTACGTGCAAGGTCGGTGCTTGGTCTGCGCCGCCACCTCTTCTCACATCTCAGCCACGTGCCCCTTGGATGGTAGACCGGTCCAAGGCTTGGCTTCGTATCACAGTATCAGACCGAAGCGTTCCAGCTTGCCTCTAACCTTGTGATCGTGTTAGGCCGGTTCGAATGCAGGATGTAAACTCGCCAGAGACCGAGTCCCGATGAAAAGTTTGTCACACATGAGGTGAAACGCATTGAGTTTTGTGTGTACTTCTGCTCTGGCTCGCATTACAACGCACGGTGCTTAGTGGATAGAGCAGCACGGCTCAGTGTTCGCCCCTTCACCACCCCGTCATCACGTAGAGTCTACCGCCAGTACCGGGCAGACGAGAGAGGCTGACACATTCACACGACCATGGCTGCCGGCTGTGATATTGTGTGCCGGTGTGTCGCCGATTGCTTCTGTGTTCCCCTACTGGAAGGCCTTGTTCAACAGCGTAACGCCGTCACACAATACATGTACATGTACGTTCATTCACATGATGTGTGTGGTACACGTACACCAGGTACACACATGTACACACAAAAATGTACGTGTACCGGCACATGTACCGGTACGGTACATTGGCAGTCAATATGCAGTCCAGCAATACTGGCCGAAATATAAGAGCACACACACAAAGACAGACAGACACAGACAGACACACGCACACAGGGATTCTTGTAAAATCCATACCTTCGAGCTACTTCAGTACTTGTGGAAGGAATCAGCCTGATGAGAAGTCAAACAGTCCAAACCTCTCGAACTCAAAGTCTCAAACCAGGCATCCTGGCTGACCCCAGCACTACCAAGTATATCAAGGGACAAGCCATCGAACACTTTTCAGCTTGATTTAGTTTCAGCCATTGTTTCCGATACAAACCTTCCAATCCCGCGATACCCGACGAAGCAGGAATCTATCAAACACTAATCATGCACTAAATATGATGTATTCGTCAGCGAATACCGGTATTATGCTCAACCAAGACACACTAATGAACTAGAAGAGTATAACCAAATTGGCGTGTTAATAGTTTTGATGTACATTTAGACCGTAGGTGTGGATTAACTGATGTGGCAGCACATCATTCTGTGCTGAATTTCGCAAAACATTAATTGAAGTCTGGAATGTTTCAAACACAGGGTAAGCAGCAGCATCCGGCCCTGGACAGATTTTTCATCGATCATCACACCTTCACGGCGCTCTCCAGCCGACCTCGACATATTGCCACACCCTCAGCAAAGCGACACATCCTTCACGGTACCCTGTTTCGAAACAGCTGTAATAAGAGATGCAGTACCAACGGATGTGGAGGTTTCCTGATGGTGTTCTGTGGCAGAGTTTCCAACGTCGACTGGAGAGCGCAGTTGAGTGTGGTGGGTAATGAAAACCTGGAATGTGTCACAGCGATACTGCGACTCATTTGCAGGAATTTCCGTGACCTCAATCTAGCAGTATTTGCCCGGAAATACCACTTTAGAGCATATGTCGCTTCCAGAAGGTGAAAGAACAGTCCACTGGGATAGTAAGATCACATTTTGTCTACTTATGGTGATCTACAAGAATAGAAAAGCATTCACTTACTTGACTAGTGGAGGGAATGGAAAGAAACAAATGCAGACAAAATTGACTGTCACCATCAGGACTCGAACCAGGGACTTTCGATTGAGGCCAGTGATGCTCTAACCACTGAGCTATGGTGTAACATTGGGAAACATTTTACAGGATTCCGTCCCTGCAGTTGCAGCGAGCATCGTGAGTTGCTGGACGGGAGGTAAAGAGAGAGACAGAGAGAGAGAGACAGAGAGAGAGAGAGAGAGAGAGAGAGAGAGAGAGAGAGAGAGAGAGAGAGAGAGAGAGAGAGAGAGAGAGAGAGAGAGAGACAGAGACAGAGACAGAGACAGAGACAGAGACAGAGAGATAGAAAGATAGATAGATAGAGAGAGAAAGAGAGAGAACACGAGAAACCCGCGTTGCCGACATAATCTCCTAGTGGCATCATCAGCGCATATTCACAGCATCGACAAGCGGTCATTGGCGAGAATGTATGAGATCGCAGGACACAAAGCTTGCAAACATCACTTCTGCAATGCCATGCTCCAATGTGTCTGCATGACTGCCAAATGAAACACAAAAGGGCGAAAGCTTAGCTGCTGTCCATCGCACAATAGCCCTTTATCCCATTCATCCTTGATGAGTTTGTCAGGACATGAACCCTATATCTATGCTGGGGTGAATCTGGCAAGCGACCAGCATGCAGACCAGCATGCAGTGATTGAAACCTCATCATCACTATAGTAACTCCATGCCCCTACTACCCGGCCCGGGTTTATTAATTATATCTACGGCAAGTTGTTTTTTGTTTACTTCGGCCAATATAACTACTGGTACTGCAGTATTCACTTCGTATTGGGGTTAGCAATGGGCAAGTTGATGCCCTGAGGTGTGAGCCCGCCTCTCGACCACTATGACTACTACTGTATTGACTTCGTCTTGGCCCCCGTGGGAGGCTTGCCCTTCTGTTGTCGCGTCTTGGTGCCTTCTTTTTGTCAGAATTCGACTTTGCTCGCCTAGTCCCTAGAGCTGTGTGCGACAAAGTAGGAGTACAAATAACAGAAGCGATGTCGACGTTAATCTGTATGGACACGAGCTTTTGTTCTGTCGCCATACAATGCTGTTTTGAATGCACGCCTAGTACGAACACACACCTACCCATTAATCACATCGTCATTTATGCGGTACGTGACTGTATGCGTTGAGGCATATGAATATGATGGCATGAATATTATAGTAAGTCAGCAGGTTTCTACAGGGGCATCTAAACTTCTCGCCTCGGAGGGGATCCAAATGGGCCCTGTCACAAAATGTGAAAGGGCTCATTTTAGGAGGTCATCCGAAGGCCATTTACTACACCAGTATGGTCATGGAACGGAGCGGCGACAGAGATGGGCTTTCGGTCGCTAACTGCACTGGCCAAGCATTACGACTTCACATGCTTATACTAACGCCCTCCAGCCCCATACAGACGCCGTACGCAGGCGATGGAGAAGTTCCCAAACACGACACTCTGGCTGGCGCTCTATGCCAACAACGCTAAGCGACATGTCCCATCATAAAGTCAGAACCCTTGGGTTTTGGTCGGTCTTAAGGTGCCTGGCGCTTAGCAATGAACCGTGCTTGAAGCTCCTATAATTAGGCACGCGAACTGATTGATAAGTGGCAAGGACATATCGGTGAACACATGGTAGGTTTCTGTGTTGAGATAGGGCGGCGCAGGGGAGATGTTGTCCATTTCGCGAAGCAAGGCGAAATGCCGCGACCGGCACCCGTCTTCTGTACGCCACGCAGCCATGATCGCTCGTGTTCCTGCGCGACCTGCTGTACCTCACTGCTTTTGATACTGGCGAATCGGTGGTGTTCGGCTGACCAAGTGCCCGCACGTTACCTCATTGTAGAATAGAACTGGGTTAGGTGGATCGCCCGCCAGGACGTCGACATTGTGTGACTCTGCCAGGGCATTCGTTTCTGAAGCTCTGTGGTTGAGGCGCTGGGTCGCCAAGTGAGGACGCCAGTGCACGAGTGCCTGTGTGTCCAGGCAATACGGAAAGCAAACCGTGTGTTTGAAACGTGCAGGCTGGAGGTAGGGTAGGCATACGTACGTATAATGTAGGTAGGTAGATTGGACCATGCATTCGGGTATGTTCAGGACTGGTCGGAGCGTAATTCGTCACAGTGCTCGCACAGCACATGCACCTCACTAAGATATTCCTAAAACGCGGCCTGCCACTGTCTTCAGATGCATTGTTTCGTGTGGTTGTTACAGGCATGAAAACCTCGTCGCGAGCGTGCAAGTACAGGATAGGGGCCAAGGTGCTCGAACCTAAATTGCCGCAGCGGCAGCAGGCTCTTTGGCCGTGACACATCTGCGATGCTTCCACGTCGCAAGGAGCACAGGAGAACGTCTGGCAAACGGTCGTAACTGTCATAGCGCTGCTTTGTCGATACGGAGCTACTTCACCAGGCCAGTGTCACAATTGGTGACCTCCGAATCAATGATAGGTCAAGTATGACTTAACCGACACGAACGTCTTCAGATCAGCTGATTACACCGTGTCACAACTCAAGCAGAAATAAAACTCCCGACCCTGGAGAAAGGCTGAACTTGTATTTCAGCAACGTGTTACCGTAGCATACGTGTTTCCTTGTTCTCGAGAAGCTATATTTCTGTAGAGATTCCCTTCCACTATCATTGAGACCCATCAAGAGCTTCCCGCAGTCATTTGCTGATATTTCCTCTGGTTCTTTCGTGGTCTCGCTGTGTGCGTCTTGCTGTTATGGTGCAGAGGGGTGGGTGGTTCCTATGTCGAAGGAACGCCTTTCTGGTGATGAGTTTATCCCAAGCAGTTGCATGGACTGTGATGTCCACACTGCTGTGTTCGCTGATCTGTAGGCCACTGTCAGTCTCTGTGGCATCGGCACCAGCGTCACGGCCCCCTGCGCCTCTAGCCTACGCAGACGGTTCAACGTGGTCGTCAGTCCGTGCCTCTTATCCTGGCGTGCTGGCCAGAGCAAAACGACAGGCAGTTGGTGGGAGCTTTGCTGATATACTGAATGGGAGAGTGGATCCGAACTGCACTGCTGAAGGTAATGTCATTTCCCGTGCTTGTTATCGAATTGTTGCGTCAGTTATACTTTGGTAACACGATTTTTAACTCGCCTCATCATGAGGTACGACAACAATGCCAAGTTCTAGTCGTGATCAGCGCAACTATAACCCTTTCCTTGTACATCTACACACTATAGCAATGACGAGACCATGTGATCGCACCTACGAAAGCCGAACAGCCCGCTATTCGGAGACCGTGTAAGGCAGATGCTGTGGAGGATTGTTGAGCGAAAATGAACAATACAATATTTATGGAAGTACGACGAGCAAAACGCTGTTCGCCACACGCTCTAGTAAATAATCATGGAAAGATCGCAGCAGCAAATCGTGCTTTGCTGAACGTCTTCCAGGACCTGGAGAATGTCATAAATCATCATTATTATTTTTATTCTGATAAAGAATGATGTCCTGAGGAGCATGAAATGGCTTTCTTGTGAATAAGGAGAATGTTGAAGCTAAGGGCATGGAAGGTTGTCAGTCGTTCACCAGAGTGGGTGAGGTAGGAACAATGCAGGAACCACTCCGTTGCAAGATTGTGTTTGCGTTCAGCATTGATTATGTAAGGTTTCAGAATTTCCCAGACGCTCTAGGGCTGTTGAAGGGATCCCGCCCGTGTAGGATAGACTGTCAAATGCTAAGGCAAAAAAGTGGCGATTTCCACTGCACACACACACACACACACACACACACACACACACACACACACACACACACACACACACACACACACACACACACACACACACACACACACACACACACACACACACACACACACACACACACACACACACACACACACACACACACACACACACACACACACACACACACACACACACACACACACACACACACACACACACACACACACACACACACACACACACACACACACACACACACACACACACACACACACACACACACACACACACACACACACACACACACACACACACACACACACACACACACACACACACACACACACACACACACACACACACACACACACACACACACACACACACACACACACACACACACACACACACACACACACACACACACACACACACACACACACACACACACACACACACACACACACACACACACACACACACACACACACACACACACACACACACACACACACACACACACACACACACACACACACACACACACACACACACACACACACACACACACACACACACACACACACACACACACACACACACACACACACACACACACACACACACACACACACACACACACACACACACTTGTACTTACTTGTACTTGCTCACTGCCAAAACTGGTCACGTGGGTCTCCCCGGGAGAGGGGAGAGAGACTCAAAAGGAATCTTGGAAAGATGACTCAATTGGCCATTGAACCACCCAGCGGCCGACACCCCCTGAAATCCCCAAACTAGGGTGGACTTGAAATGATCCCACTTATGGGCTCACCACACCTCAGTAAGTGGGTGAGGACAAGGTGCAGAAAAAGGATTGACGGCATCAGGGTATCCGTCCCGGGATCCAACTGCAGGTACCCCTGCCCCCAGTGAAGGTAATACTTGGTACTAGTGTGGGTGGCTAAATCAGAGTGGATCTGATATAAGCTTCACTAGCACCATTGATTACACAAGAGTTAATCTAGCCAGAAGCTGTCCATGGTTAACAGGTATGTATACTTCAAATAGAAAGTATATGAACCCTGAAACCAACAAAGGTGGTAGGTACAACAATACACCTTCAAGCAGCCGAGTCCGTTGGCAACAGGCCCAACACTATCTGGCATAAGTGTACCCACCAACCGAACTAGCTGGCACACACACACACACACACACACACACACACACACACACACACACACACACACACACACACACACACACACACACAAACACACACACACACACACACACATACACGTACGCACACACACACACATACACACGCTCACACACTGCGCTCACTACCCTGAGGAAGAGTGTTCAAACACGCAGTGCGCAATGCCCGGTGGACGAGCGAGGTTAGGCGTAGGTCTATGTGTGTACTTCAAAGTCCATGTATGTGCTCATGTATGTATGTGTGTTTTGAACGTAAGGGTCTTACAAACGAATGTAGCGGCATTATGATCGTGCACTGTATACACTATACCCTCAAGCGATGGAGAAATCGCTGCTATCCCACTCAGTGCCATACACACCGCCACTGGATGTTCTCACCAGTTACCTGTAGGTACACAGCGTTACTTGATACAGGAAGACTCTTAAAATAGCCAGCCGCTGTGACCGAGTGCTGCAAGGCACTGCGACGTCGCGAGACACGGTTTACATCACAACGAAACTTAATCCACGGTTCTAGACCTCTTCGTGATCACACGTGCTATGTGGTTCAGCCGTTTTGAAATCATGTCTTCGCTTTGAGGTGCAGTTGTTCGAGGTCAGCTGTACGATCCAGTTCTAGAATATAATGCGGCAATTGTAGGGCATTCGTCGTGCCAGCGCTCGTCCCCTCTCCCCACGTCCAAGTGTAGTCAGTGGAGCTCTGAACCTAGTGGTGATGTTTGTCATGACTTGCGCCCAGTGGCTGCCGCCTCATTGTCTAGTACCTTACTTAGGATTCATGATGGGATCGCACGAATGTTGTGAAAAACAACACAATTGGCATCATCAACTGATGCTCTTCCCTTTCGATTTCCTGCCGGTAAGGTTCACAGGAAGGAATGAAGTAGATGCGGAAATCTCTCTTCTTCCATCTTTTTGTAAGATGTACCCTCAGGGTTTAGCGCTAGGCGCATGGAGATATTGGCAGCCTCCAATACGGTCTGGCACATCGCTGTCAGCCCTAAACTGGGCAATGTTGACTTCTGGTTTTCTCAAGATGTGCGGTCTGAGCATCTCAGTACTCAGCGGGGTGTGAGATTGTGAATTAGTGTGTTTGGTAAATGACCCGGCTGCGACAGCGCACAGATCACGCGGCCCCTGAAAAAGGCACACATTATCTCATCTCGCACATCCTGAATACACACGCAAACACGAGCGACGTGCAGAATGGGCAGAAACTTCACGCTTACATTACACTAAATTTAGAGATGTAAGTTAGGTAAGTGACTATAAGCTAGTGCATGGAGACTCAATGAACCAAAGTACATCTGGTATGTAAACTGTCCAGGGCAGACGAGATCCAGTTCGCAATTCGCTCAGTTTGTCATCCAACGGTTCCACCCTTGCTTGTTGTCCAGGTACTTTTATTTCGCCAGAAATCACCATAAAACCACAAAATGAGTCGGGAGTGCGTGGCAGCAGTGGAGCCGTTCGATGTTGGGCCTGTGCGTCACCATTTCAGCGGCCTTCCTCGCTACGTACTCAAACACCTTTCATCTGATATGGTGCTGAGATAAAGTGATGAGTCTCCAGGTCGATGGAGTACCGTTTGTGACCAATAAACCGTTTGCGATATTGTACAAACAGCGCTGGCGTTGCGACGATCATGGGGAAATATTCTGTTCTAGTTTGGTCGGACAACGCACGGAACATTTTTGAGGCACTGTCACCATGGTCACAGAGGGTGTCCAGATATTGAGCTTAATATCGTACGAGATCATTCCGGGTACCATTGGAACTAACAAATGGCACTCTTGCAGTGTTATTCAGCTTCACTATCTTCAGTGGTTGGTTGGTTTGGTTGGTTGGTTTATTTTAATTCGCACAATAAACGGGAACTAGGCCCAATGATATAAAGGCGAACGGATAAGCCGCATTTAGAAAAGAGAGGACAGAAATTAGAAAATTACGAAAGAAGAAGTATCTGACAGAGGAGTCAAGCGAGTATCAGGGGTGCCAGGGTGGTCGAGGAGAGCTAGGGGAGGGCTAGGGCAGTGCTGTGCGGCTTTTCCATCCACCGAAATTCAATGATAGTGTTTGCATTTTGTGTTGTATGCAGACGAGCAAGGATTTATCTGCCCACTGTTCGCACGCTGCTATAACTTGCCAGATGGACTGACATGTGTTTGTGGAGAGCCCACTGCTGGCATGCCATGCCCCGGAGGTAAGTGTGCCTGTGGTCCAGTGTGGACCGCACCGCTTCTGTTGATATCCTCCCTGAATGCGAATGGCATGCTACTTATCTGCACTTAACCTACCGCTCTATCTTTCTCTCTCTCTCCCTCTGTCTGTCCTTCTGTTTCTCTGTTTCTTTGTGAGTCTCTACCCCCTCCTCTCTCTCTCTCTCTCTCTCTCTCTCTCTCTCTCTCTCTCTCTCTCTCTCTCTCTCTCTCTCTCTCTCTCTCTCTCTCTCTCTCTCTCTCACACACACACACACACACACACACACACACACACACACACCTCAGACCTCAGACATGCCCATCGCGGAAGCGATGATAGCGAACAGCTATGTTAGACATAGCAACTTGTGCTGGGATTACACCATTCAACACACACGTACACACACACACACACACGCACACATACACACACACACACACACACACACACACACACACACACACACACACACTCACTCTCTCTCTTTCTCTTCTCTCTCTCTCTCTCTCTCTCTCTCTCTCTCTCTCTCTTTCTCTCACTCTCTCTCTCACTCTCTCTCTCTCTCTCTCTCTCTCTCTCTCTCTCTCTCTCTCTCCTTTGAGTGTGAGTGTGTGTTCATGATTGTTTGTCTGGTTTTCTTCATCTTTCTCCTCCTCTCTGTATCTCTATCTGCTGTAGATTTAGATGAGTGTTTCGTGGGTACGCACAATTGTGGCTCTGGTGGCCGCTGTGAGAATAACTTCGTCGGCTTCATGTGTTCCTGCGACATGGGATATATGCTGGACAGCACCGCAGCAGAACAGTGTGTAGGTATGTAACCACACTATACATGTACACCATACCAGTACTGAGCAGTTCGAGCCACAAAAACTGAGCCTCGGGACCAAAGACTGCCCTGAACGTTTCAAGACGTTGTGTTTGTGTAAGGTCTCTCAACTGTGGCCGTTGAGAAGGTGTTGATACGTTTGTTGACGTATTACCCATTGCATATTGTTCTCGACCTTTTTCACCCATTCTCAGAAAGGCATAAAGAATCCACTCTGCTGAATAATGAATACCCTTATGTCTGTGGGCTCCAAGACCAAGGATTTTTCGTTATTCATTTAGTTTTCGTCTTCCTGGCCATCTGCTGACATACACCCTCACATTCAGTAGAAGAAGAGGAAAAAAAAAGATCGAAGAAAAAAATAAAAAAATCCTTCGAGCCGGATTCGAACCAGCGACCTAAAGATGACTGCGCACTCCAGAGGTGCACACACTACAGTCTTCCGCTCTACCAACTGAGCTATCGAAGGAGACATGTAACATTGCGTCTCCTAGGCTGAAAACAAGCTGTCACACGGCCGGAGGATGGCTACTGTAATCGAGCACTTTCAAGTTAGACCAGAGGCTGGTCTAACTACATGTATTACTTCGGTAGACCCGCCGTACTTTTAGCTGGTTTTCAAATGTTCTGTTGTTGACTAAGCATGATTGCAATCGGTACAACCAGGTTGCAACGTAACAGTCGATAACGCCGAGACCTCTGGTCGGTCGAGTTGCTCCTTGTACATCGGCACGTCGTCCCTACATCCCCTGTGTCTTGTTTTGTGTTTGTCTCGACATGTCTATTGGTAGAGCTGTTTTCTTAGTAAGACTTGAAACAAACAAACAAAAAAACAAAAAAACAGAGCTTAGGAGGCCAAGGTACATGACTGTACAGATGCCACGTTCAGCGAAGATGGAGTTACATAAATACTGTAATGTTCCACTAAACCTCCGACAAGTACCACACGAACAGTCCTCGGCTATACCATGCACGACGATGGTTCCCAAACTTTCACCCAGGAGGATATTATTACTAATCATTAGGAACTATAATGGACCTTCAGAGTTATCAAAAACCACTGTAATTATCTTGAGATTCTTTAACTGGTTTGAATGATTTCTACTTGGATATTTCAGAATCCTGATCCTGATGATGGCCCTGACTTAAAATATTGTTGAGGTTATAGAGTTAGCAGCACACCATTTGCTTTGGTGATAATATAGGATGTTCTTTGCTTTGCTGTGGCTGCAAAGGAGCTTTCGCACCGTTTGACAAACTGTTTCCCCATTTTTATGGTTTATGCATTGCAGATGTGAATGAATGTGCGGATTCCCAGTTGCCATGCCACTCGAAGGCAACATGTCTGAACTCCGTGGGCAGCTACATGTGCCAGTGTAGCTCTGGTTACCGTGGCGACGGGTTTGAATGTACAGGTAAGTCAGAGTTCTGTTGGAAATACTCAGTATGCTACTTTGAGGGTTCCATGAAGAGTGGTCCAATCGAGTGGAGTCCCTTCCAGCGAGAGTCTCAGGAATTTCTTATCAACCTATGAAGCATGAACTGGAAACACACGTCATCAGTTCACTATAATGCTCCTGAATGAAAATTGGAGGTTTTTGGCTGTTGACCAGTTGACTCTTCATACACCGCCAGTGCATGCCCACGTGCATGCCCACAATTTTATCACAGTGGCCCTTGCTTACAGGACTCTCAGCTTCTGCTCCAAGTGTAAGAAAGTCACTGTGTACATGGAAATGAGTACATGTACTGTCATTGCGCCTGTTTTATGTGACTCCATTTTCATTGCAGATGTGAATGAATGCGATGTGGATCAGTTTGCGTGCCATGTGAACGCAGTGTGTGAGAACACACTCGGCAGCTTTCGATGCCAGTGCGCGGAGGGTTTTACGGGAGATGGAAGAAACTGCTTAGAGATACCAGGTAGGAGTTTGCAAGGCATTCCCTACAGAGATGAGAATGAGGTTATCACATATGCTTGGTATGGAGTACAGTCAACTTCGCTAATAAGGACTGCGGATATAACGTCAATTCGCGAATAACGACAGAATTTCCAATCTAACTGTAATACATATAATGAGACTTCGGGTATAAGGACGCTTCGCGAATAAGGACACTTTCCTGATACCCCGCCGAGTGTCGTTATACGCAAAGTTGACTGTACCGTATTTCCGGGGTGTTAGCCGCACCGGGGTCTAAGCCGTACCCCCTTTTTTCGGACCTAAAATTCGGTTTTTTTGACATTCAGAGTATACATGTACATCAGGGAGTCGTACTCAAACTAGGGAGGTGACACGGCACAGAAATCCGTGTCACAGGGGTTGACTCGCACCCGTGACCCCTCGTTGTTATTTTTGGAATAGTTCAGTCCAGTCCAGTCCGAAAGGTCATACTCGGATCGACTCGCCTTCTGTACTTCACCTCCAAGCGTGCAACGCAAGACCCGCAAAGTATGATTTTTCTGTGGCGAACGATTTTGCCATTGATCAAGTTTTTATTGGAGTGCTCAGGCATACTACGATTGCTCAGACGTCCCGAGCACGCTTGTTCAGGTTCTCTATTTTTGACGAGCCGGTCCTACAGCCCCCTATTGTACATGTATCTAACGACGTAGGAGCTGACAATGTAAGAGGATTTCCCTGGAAATAATGATGATGGTGGTGTGACTGCTGCAGGAAAAATGCTGGCTGTTTATGACAGTATGACTAGATGTACAATGTAGCTCTCTTGTATGGTACTTAACCCCTGCTATAAATGTGTTATTTAGGAAGACTGGTGTATTGTGCAAGTCATAAAGAAGAAATGGGGCAGATACACGACTTACAATTTTCAAAAACCAGCTTCGTGTTATGTGTAATTTGTGTCAAAATTGTAGTATTTAGACATGACAATATCATTGGCTGTACTTCTCTAATATGGTACATAACCCCTGCTATAAATGTGTTATTTAGGCAGACTGGACCATTGTGCAAGTCATAAAGAAGAAATGGGGCAGATACACGACTTACAATTTTCAAAAACCAGCTTCGTGTTATGTGTAATTTGTGTCAAAATTGTAGTATTTCAACATGACAATATCACTGGCTGTACTTCTCTTATATGGTACTTAACCCCTGCTATAAATGTGTTGTTTAGGAAGACTGGTGTATTGTGCAAGTCATAAAGAAGAAATGGGGCAGATACACGACTTACAATTTTCAAAAACCAGCTTCGTGTTATGTGCAATTTGGGTCAATTTTTAGTATTCGGATTAACCTAGGATACGACTCTGAAAAGTTCTGAACAGTTACCGCAACACTACACGCCGTTTCATAACTGCTGCTGTTGCCATCACTACTATCAAGTAGTTCGGACTTGGCAGGAGCTAAAAAAATTGCTGGTAGTCTTTCAAAGAATACTGGCGAGTGATGGGCTGTAAACGAAATGTGCTGCCGCAATAATTTCAAAAACTAGACACCCATGCGGCACGCTTGGAGGTGAAGTACAGAAGGCGAGTCGATCCGAGTATGACCTTTCGGACTGGACTGGACTGAACTATTCCAAAAATAACAACGAGGGGTACGGGTCACGGGTGCGAGTCAACCCCTGTGACACGGATTTCTGTGCCGTGTCACCTCCCTAGTTTGAGTACGACTCCCTGATGTACACGACTACACGTACATTGTACATGTAAGCCGCACGTCAGATATTGAATTATTGTTCATCCAAACTTGATGGGTAGTGTCATCAAATCGACTGGATGCCATGTACATGTACATGTACGTGGTGCTAGTTTGAGATTTGAGCTCCAAGCCAATGCTTGCGCGTGACTGCCCTGCAACTGCATACAAATTTGAGCCATTAGAGGCCATCATCAGGATTGATAATTTTCTGGCGAATGCTATAGTATAGCATTTACCTATAAAATGGCTTTCTGATGTACGTTTCCTGTGTTTTCTATCCTAATGGTTTCACATCATCGCAGCTCCACAAACAACAGAAGCGGCAATACAGATCAGCTCCCGGACTAACCCATCCGCAACTCTCGCCCCGATTTCTGCTGCACCCGCCCGGCCCGAGATCACGACCAGGACCAGTGGTGTTGACGTCATGACCTTGGCTGCGGACGCTAACGTCATAGCGCAGCCCGGCAATCACAATGCCAATGGCCACAACAACGGCGAGGACCACAGTGCTAGTGACCAGGATGACAGTCTCTGGGGCCACGATTCCGACAGTGAAAGCGAGGACAGTCGGGCTAGCAATGACGACTCTAGCAATTCGGAAAGCAGTGGAAGTTCAAGCTCTAGCTCTTCCGGCGATTGAGTCAGCACTAAAATTTCCCATCATCCAGATACTGAGGGGATATATCGGCACTGATTCACAATATCACAGGACAAACTTAGGCCAAAACTGAATGTAGTAATCTATTATTTTACACCCTCTATTTTCCGAATTCCTTGAATGATTGATCACCCTGACTTGAGCAATACTTTTCTGAGTTTGTATGACATCATCAGCCAGAAAGACGTGGAAAATATTCCTCAAGTACATTTTAAATCATGTGGAGGAATTCTGCTCATGTACCAAGTACAATGTATGCGAGGAGAAGAGAGCTATGGCTTCTCAAATAGACGCTGTTTCCTGATTTATGACGTCGACAATGTGAAGGATGCCTGCTGTAGGGATGCGCAAACTCAGTGTGTGTATCCTCCGAGACCATTCCCACATCTTCACTGTCCAAACGCAGTGATCGTATTCATATTCGCTTCACACGAGCTCCTTCTCACGATATTTAAAATTATTATCAATGAAAAAATCACTTTATCATCTCAAGAATTGCAGTATGTGTACTTCCAAGAGTACACAGCCCTCGTGTACTCTTGGTACTTCGGAGAAGATGTCCCATTTGAAATGCTCTTCTTGAGTCCTCCCCTGTATTCATTCAAGTCAGTGCGCTCTGGACTCGGAACATCTTTCTTGTGCAATGTAGACCATGGTAGACACCAGGGAATAGTACAATATTATGGTATTGTACTACTCCCTGGTAGACACAGCCTGGTCATTGACCAGGGCAGGCTATAGCCTGCTGAGTAGGCTGAAAATTATTGTGCCTGAACTGCACCACTTACATGTCCACTTACATGTACACTACATTGTATAGTGCTCTGGAGGCCAAACCATCACCAGAGATACAGACTTTACAGAGCCGCTCCGTTTCCAGCACGACAATCACCTCGTGAACACCATTACCAACATGTATACTGTGAGAGACTCACCTCCTCTCCCCTGACTCACTTGTCAGGTCTGCATCTGCCACTAAGGTGAAAAGGCATAGTGGTGGCCTGCGGAAGCGAAGGTTATATGTAGCTTGTGTGTTTCTGAACATTCAAGTGATGCTAACGCGGATCCCGCGAATATTATTATTCTGCTTATACAAGTAGAAGCGTGGATCAGTACTCAAGCTCACGATGGTGGTGATTTCCCCGAAATACTGTCAAGGTATTGAGCAGGGAGTGGTGCCTTTTTGCAGGTTGCGGAGTTTAAGGTTCAATTGGCTTGTCGTGTGGTCTGGATGGCAGTGGCGAGTCAGTCAAAATGTCAAGTCAGGTCCGCGGGTAAACCGGGGGGGGGGGGGGCAATGTGGGAGCGTCCAACTTCCTTGTAACATTATCGTCAAGGTCGCTGCCACTACATGCATTTTGAACATACTAGTACTGACTGCAAAGGCATTGTTTCTGCTCATCCACACTGCCACATGCGTTCCATTACGCATCGCTCACCTAATGCCACAGCTACTGGGTTCCACGGAAAAAGGAACATTGATTTTCAACTGCCTCAAACTACTAAGTCTTATGAATGGTATTTCAATGTATCTATGCTTCATTTACATCAACCTCGAGCACACTTTGCGTGTCAACAGCTAATTACTTTAAAAGGTGTATAATTATGACTCGCCCAATGCGATTAATCTTTCCATTGTCTCGGCCTGGCCAGATTTCCCACTTCTCAGGGGTTTCAGTGCAAAGAATGCAAACTTGGTGACATGTGCCTGCTGCTGGTGAGAAATGCACTGCCAAAAAGGAACAAGTGATTCTCTCAGCTCTTGAAAGAGGAAGCACAATTTTGTTCTCACCTGTCTCGAAGAGTTGTCAGAAACTAGTGAGTAATGTGGGTCTTCTAGCTAGCAGTGTAGCCTGTAGGGATGTTGTCGATCGACGACACGATTTTGACACTGTCATCGACCCCTAGGTCTACGCACAGGCACCGCCGCGAAGTGCCTGATCTGGTTCTGACTTCGCCACACTCGCGTCAGGAATTCCGGCTTCCCACAAGTGCCCCCTTTTGTCACACACTCACGATCGCAAGGAGAGGATGACAGCCACAGGAGCGCAACTCTGCGATGGACACGAAGCACTTTCGGTCGCTCCGCGCAGGCCAGGAAGAACGAGTCAGGCAGGACTTCTACATCCACGTGCTAATATTGTGTAGGCATACCGACACGATGTGTTTCTCACCTCTGTTTCTCGCCGCATGTCCATATCCAGGCGCTAGGCCTCGGGATCGCTGGAAAAGTAAAAAATATTTTAGCGACGTGCACGAAAAGGTCGTTGCTTGATGTCACTCTCACACTAGAGTCACAGACTAGCCGGAGGTGCTAGGTGCTCGGGTGGCTAGCTCCGAGAGTTCATCTTCCGTTCATATTCAAGTTTTGTCTTTTAGGAATTTTTGTAGCTGTGTTTTTTTCTAGTTTAGCACTCGGCCAGTTTCTAGCTTGTTGTTTTGAATATGCCTCTTGTCATACAACATACGAAACAGTGTGAGCTATGTGGCTCCGCGAATACAGGAATGCAGTCGCAAAAACGCACCACAGTTCTTTCGTGGTTTGTCCAGAGGAGAGCTTTCAGTCTTCAACAGCTAGTGATGGCGTTGCTCATACTCAACCTGGTGAACGCCCGGAGTGGGGTGCGAGCGGAGGGATGGAGCGGCTTGGACCGGGAGGAGTGCAAGGCCCAGTGCGAGGTATGGTGTAGTATGCTTTAGTGAGGGGAGTACGAAAGTCCCCTTCAACATCTAGAACTCGTCAAGCCGGAGAGAATAATGTTCGCGTTTGATTAGATTAAGCCGAAATAATTTTTCCCGGACTATTGTTGGGTATCATGGGGAAACAAGGCTGAAACAATGTAGTAAACTCCTGCTGTGAACGTTCTCCGATACGATGTTGTGATAAGAATAATCTGATGACGCCTGGCTCCGCAGTGGACTGTAGTCTGTAGTGTACAACACAGCAGATGTAACTATGAACACCAGTAATATACAGCGTCATGTAAACAGAGGCAGCACTCAGGCCGGATAATGATTATGTGTTTCGATGACTCACAGCGGCAATAATGGGTGACACGTAATTACTGTCCAATCCCTCTCATATCATCATGTGATTGTGCATCATGTACAGTGGAAGATATTCGGAACCGATCATACCTGTAGCTACATACATTTTTGTTGTGATAGGCTCTGATGGACATGCATTGGCGCTCCTTAGAGTACTGTCTGATGGTCTCGTGTTGGTGACCTCGTTTTGGTGTGAAACTCAGTGGAGTACCAATAACCCTGTTCCATTTTGTGCAACGTGCGTGCCAGCGATTGAAGTATGATGTACCCACCCAGTCTATGGTTTTGAAGGCGGTGGCTGGCAATCAGGACTTGACTCATCTTGTGCCCTACAGTCAAGTTAGATAAGCATGTTACGGTGTGACAATAGAGGTGCAGAGTTATTAGACACCTCTCCCGGGCTAAAACCACCCCCAGCAAAGCTGCAAAGACTTGAACATGTCTATAACCCGAAACTCACATAGGGAGTGAGATGATTCGAGTACAAACACATGGTTGGCGAGTGAAATCCAGTCCCTGCCCCAGGTTCTGCATGCGTAAGATGCACATACATGTAGCTGGTGCATAGCAGGCACACATAAATCCCTGGTCGTGCGAGACCGGGGCTGGATTTCACTTGCCAATGCAGTGCGTGGCTGGATGCGATCTGTGCACAGTATAAGACATCCTACATTCTTCCTCTGACAGTGCTGGGGGGTACATCCCCAATACGCATACCTGAACTGAATGCAGTGATTGCATGTGCTGCACGAATATTCTTGTGAACAGGCTCTGTTATAGATTACCTTGAGAAGTATTTTCACGATTTCCCCCCCCGAGGTGCAGTTTGAGCAGGTTGCTTGTCTGAAATGTGTACTCCAGGACCCCAGATTGGGCATGTGTTCTCCACGGAATTTCCTTGGGGAGAGTATTCACGATGCCCCCGAGGTGCAGTTTCAGCAGGTGCCTTGTCTAGCGCATACACACCTGGGCCACAGACTGCTCCAGGAGTGAACGAGTCAGGCAGTCTTTGCGCAGGGATGCAGCGTGGTCCTCTTTCTGTGCAGTCACAGTGCATGCATCCTGACAGATGCGAGCAGTGTATCCAACTTACTGCATACCTGGCAAATTTGCAAACCTGGGATCGGGGCAATGACGCACCTACCATATTTCCCCGATTGTAAGTCGCACCTTTTTACACTCTACTTCAAAAACAAAGAAGAGGGTGCGACTTACACTCGAGTATGACTTCCTACTCATGTGTGTATTGATACAATTTGGTTCAGACCTAAAAATGGGTTGCAACTTATAATCGGGGGAATACGGTAGGTATGAAAACGTATCTCCAAATGTACCTGGGAGGCATGCCACAAATGCACTTTTGGGTCCCTATTGTCACCCTCGATATCAGGACGGTCCGACCAAATCGGGGTGGGTGGCAGGTATGTTGCCGTGGTGATGTATTTGAACGTCTGCCAGTTGGTGTCATATTCATTCTCCTGGAAAGCATCCATTGTGATCCAAGAGATGCGACTAGTTTATAATTGAACCCATGGAGCTACGAGGCATAGAATTGTGAGCCTTGGTGCTCTCAGCCATGGAGCCATGAGCCACGTTACAACTGAGCAAAATTATTTCATCGCTGATTGTGTTTTATCGTGAAGCTCTGAGCAACGAAAACTTACCAACAAGTCCTTCTGTTGGTTGCATTGTTGGTAGCTAGTAAGTAGGTTGTGTGTCTTGAGAGATAGAGAGGGAGGCAAGGTTTCAGGTATGTTACAGTGTATCTATGAACACCATGGAGGTAGTGAGGGGGAAGGATACAGGCATGGGCAACAATAGCTAACAGTCGGAGTCACCCATGGTAGCTGTGCCCTTGCAGCAGACTCAGCACCACCCTCAGCTTTATGACAGCATGATTTTTATTTTTATTTTTTTACCATGTTCAAATTCCCATCTCGAAAAATAATAAAGAAAAACAATGGTACTGAGACTAGGACGAACGTGACAACTACTGAGCAGGGGCTGCACCGAGACGCAGCAGTGATGGTGGGGCATTGATGGCTCTGCCGACCTGAGGTCTCGACATCATGGCCAAAAACACGCACCAAAACAAAAGATAGAGCCGTACGAGTCAGCAACGTGAAAAGAAAGGAAGGGTTAACACCAGCGAGTGTGTGGGAGAAACTGTGAGACTATTAACAATCATGGCATGGCTATCATTATACTCGTCCAATCTCCTTCGGCTTTTGAATTTTGATTAACTTAATGTGCCTTGCAATACCTTTACCAGCTGCTATCATAATAATGGGAGCATTCATGGAAAGAGCAGTTTTGAAGACCTTATCCCACTAGCCTTGCATTGATTCCAGGCTCAATTCCTAGGGATGAAATTTGCATCTTTCAGAATTTGCACCCAGGGTAGAGAGTCACATTTCGGTAAATAGCCAAAGTATGCTGTTGTCACGGCAAATCTCAGCTTGACATCAACCCATGCATGTGTACGACTGTGGCATACAGTGCACACTAGTGCAGTGATTCTGGGAAATAATAATTGCCATGGTATGGAAGACTGTACCTCTGAGTGGGGCCACTGTATGCCGTCCTAGTGAATAGCATTTATTCATTTTATTTATCGTCTCCACTTCATGGCGCATAATAATACATAGCCAATACAAGAAAGGGAGGGTGAATCCATCCACGGAAAATAGCATTCAATGTAGTGTGCAGCCATCTGCAAGCTGGTCTCCTTTACTTCGAAGTACTACTCTCCATTAGTGTACCATACAACACGATTGTGAGAGCTGAAACTTACTTGTATCAGTACTTGTGATGTAGTAAAACGAAATTAGGCTTTCTTTTCAAGATGCTTGTCCTGTGTTGAATTGAGTTCAGTCACGTCTACATGACATTGTCTATTACCATCCTACTTCCAAGTAATAGCGCACAGTAATAGTGATCACTGCTTGGTACTGGGAGAAGCACGAGCAGACTGACTAGCTGTGCAAGTATGGCAATCTTCCACCTGCTGCAATCCACCCACCAGTGGAGCCACTTGGCGGTTCTTACTTTGCTTGCTAATGAGCCTGCTTACGTGCACACGTAGTCATAAACATGTCGTGACTTCTCAGACGGAAATAATAGACGATGTGGAATATCTGAAAAGGAAATATGAAAGGGGCATGGTGTGTGCATTGAATGTGCTACTGGCAGTAATGTAGTATGAGAGAGAGAGAGAGAGAGAGAGAGAGAGAGATAGAGAGAGAGAGAGACAATCTGAATGTTACAGTTGGACAATATTGTTGCTTTTGGCAGTACTTGTCGTCGTGCACTTGGAAAGCTGTGTTTGTTTTATTATGATCAATTGAGGTGAAAAATGTGATTACGCAATAATTATTACAAAAGCACAAAGGGATAGTCATGTTGGAAATGTCAGGAGTGGTAGTCAGGGTAGTAGTGAGGCTAGGTATGTACTAGTGGGCTGGTCATAATGATCTGTACCATAGCTTGGACGCTGACCCCCAGCCCCTTCTCTTGCAGATGCACGTGTTCTCAGATAGGTAGTGAAAGGTGGTGTCTTTGTGCTCCGCCCGTGCAACACAGCAAACAACAACAGAGTTGCATAGCCAGTGGCTGGCAATGGCATGAATTCTTGTCACATCAGTCCTGAGTGGGTACTTGAACTCTCTTAAGGCTAGAGGGTATGTTGTCAGGAGAGCCTAGTGTTTGTATGAAGTACATCAGTGTATGAGCAGGACAGTACTTGGTGGTGGTGGTAATCCATTTTTTTTCATTTTTGTGAATATCCACTGGAGCTTGGGGGCCCACTGCCACTTAAAGTCTTTAGGTGGCAGACAGAGACAGGACAAGAGTTAGCTCGTGTCAAACATGAGTATTTTTCACATATACACATACAATATTATGTACATGTAGGTGTTCAAGGTGTCAGCTTCACGTTGGGAATACTTAATGTACTTACTCAGTAGTATAAGTGACCCTTGTCAGTGCAGGTCATATTTCCATCACTGAAAGGTCCTAGGCGCCAAGATCATGATAATGTGGTGTATAGGTATGGCGACTGAAATCCAATCCCCAGTCTGTAGACTATAAAGCTGTTCTTCTCAAGAATCGCCCGCCAATGTGTATGGCTGCAGTGCACAGGAATCTACTTCCACTTAGTTGATCTAGGGACTGCAATGGGATGACAAAATCATTAATAACAGTAGCTATAATCACACTCTGCAACAGTGGACCGTGTGGTTATCATACTTGCCACACAGTACTAGCACGTCATGCCCAGCGTACCATCATTAGACACCCTCCCCCCCCCCCCCCCCCGTCACAAGGTTTGGGAAGAGGGAAAACGTCCTTTTAATCCACACCAAAGACAGCTACATTTGGTAGGCCTTGCTCCATGAGATTGTGCATGTTGCCATCAGACAGCACTTGTATGATTGTTCACTACTTTGTTTCTACAATTAACTTGAAATCACCTGTTCAACTTTGTCACATGACACAAGCTCATCTCAAGCACTTGAAAGAAACTCTCTGGTATGTGGAAACCAGCATATTATATGATGCAGAAACAGCTGCTGGAAAGAAATCCCGACAATGATTGTCGATGTCAGAAGCTGAGAACATGTTCAAACTCTCCTTTCTAACTGTGTGTTTGTGACACTAGATACAAATCCGCAGCGTTACTCGGGAACTCAGTCAGTACGCGGGCCAGGTGCATAAGGCTGAGGATGAACGTGATGTGAGTACATGTTTTATCCATTGATCTGAGGTGGAGCTGGATCGCCTGCTTGATTTCCAATTCCCAAGTATGTGCCATGCGTATTTCATTAACGTTGCCTCTTGAGAATTGTGCCGGTATTGCTTCCTTGTACCGCTCAATGAGCCTCGTTCTCACGGGAAACGAAGGGCCTTGCATGTGTGCGTGTGTGTATGTGTGTATATGTGTATGTGCGTGTGTGTGTGTGTGTGTGTGTGTGTGTGTGTGTGTGTGTGCGTGTGCGTGTGCGCGTGTGCGTGTGCGTGTTCTATTACATAGATGTGCAGCCGTGCCTGTGAACTACCGTCTTCAATCTGCTACAATGTAGCAACCTGCGTGAGTTAAATCCTGTAGTCTGCAGCATGTTGCAGCGAATCATTCTCTTTTTCCGTTCGCACTACCCACTCCACAACCTGTTACATGTTGTATCTCACTGACCTCTACCTGTTGGAAAATTCAGGTTACTAAGACGAATATAACGGTCAATGTTCGTCACGATTAAGTATCACTGGATATGGCCAAATTTCTGATTTCCCTCAAAGTTGGCTCCTTTTATCCTTGGGTGGATCTCGTTCACTCACTTTGACAGTTTGGTCCAGAAACCCTCCGTTCCTTCGATATTTGACAAAAGTCAAAAATCGCCTAAATACGCACTGAAACTAGATGCAAGAACGAGAGATCAATGCTGCTCACAACAACACAGCGCAGCCAAACCAACTATGTTCGCACACCGAACCAAGTCACCTAGTAATGGTCAGCCATCCAACTGTTGACTGGCGACCTGCTGAGGCCCTCGAACAAATCGATCAATTCAACCTGTCCAATGGCGACCATTACGAAGGCCTTGTTTAGCATGTTTATGTATGTGTCTGTGTAACGCTATGTATGTGTTTGTGTAACGTTATGTGTGTGTTTGTGCAACGTTATGTGTGTGTATCTGTATGTGTGTATGTGTGTGTGTACGAGTTGGTGCCAACTCTCACCAAGCCCCGATGACAAGACTAGCATTTTGCCTGTATTCTCCTCTGCCCTGTGGGCCGGTAGCGCCTTGGCCGGTGTCATGCTATCCCCATGCCACCCGCATAGCACTATAATTATACTGATCACGTACACTGCCTTGGCACTGAAACACTAGCAATGCATACCTGCCATGGGACAACACCTATAGTGAATAAGACCACACAGCCCCGACTATAGCCCCAGTCTTCTGATGATTGGTTTTCAGCATGAAACTCGTCAGTAGAGACATTTAATCACTTTTTGTTCCACCGGATTTTAGTTTGTATGTGTATGTCTGTATTTGTGTACGGTATGTGTTTGAATGCGTGCATATCGATGTGTTTCAGCAACAAGACCCGGCATGCCTGACACGATGTTGGCTGGAGCTCAACGCTGCTGGTGTTTTTCCTAATAGAGGAAGTGAGTTACTTGAATCGGCTTTGCAGAACTGACTGTCTTCATTTTCTTTTATGTTCTAGAGTGTGCTTTCATATCTATCACATGCCCATACTGGAAAGCCATAATGGGTTATTTTCCAACTCCAGTCAACCCATTCATCTATGGGTCACATGATGTCAGCCATGTTGGTTCCTCTGTGGTCATGTTTCTTTTTTCTCCACCTGTTTTCCAGTAGGGCTGTGTTAATAGTAAAAAATGACATGATCACTTTCTACACAGCTGCCATCTTCATAATCTCTGTATTCTCGGGAGCAACGTTTAGCTTCATTTCTTCGCTCGTTGTCCATCATGGCTGTAGTTTTCTGCCTCACAGCACTGTGGGATGAAGGATTGGTGCAAGTTTTGTTGAATCTCAGGGTTTGCTGAATCTCAGGGTTTATTGAATCTCAGAGTATCACATGTCCATGATCATGCATTCTTGAGACTTTTTCTCTGCTTTCACGCCACCGTGCATGGCTCTATGTCCTGTTTGCGCAGAGCTCGAGAAGAGCGATCGCAATGTGGCCGAGATGCTGTACCAGTTCGGCACCTGCACACGCACTCGCATACACGGTGGAGCGGACGGGTTCCGCACGTCCAGCCACTTCTTCTGGATACCGTACAGCCAGGCTCGGAGCGGCGCTGCTGCCAATCCCAATGCAGACAGCCTGAGCCCGCTGCAAATCAAGCTCACAAGGCGGCTCTATCAGCCCACAAACACCGCCAACAAGCGGTGCATTCGAGATAGAAGCCATCCTGCACAGGTAATTCACTGAGTTGGCTGTTAGATTGCTCAGCATTGTTTGGCAAGGGAAGTGCTTTGCAAGCCCTAAGTGCATGTAGGATATGGTATACAAGGAGCTGCAATGTAGATACAGCTAAGTGCCGAAAGGTCAAGATGGCGCCTGCACGAGCTGAAAGCACTTATTGAGCTGATTCCGATATTGTGTGGGGTGAAAATTGACAAAAAATGAATTTATCTTGTTTTGCACTCCACCTCTGCATGTTTCTTTCTGACTTTAGCTCCTCAATTCAGTTGAGCTTTTTCTCTTGCATGTTACTGCATCGAACTATCGTTTCCTGAATGAATCTACAGCCAGCAGTCCCAGGACCCTCATTCGTGATCTGTATACAGTGTTTGGTTCACGATTGCACATATGCACGCACTCGCACACTCGCACTCACCTTTACACACTCGTACTCGCCTGCACACTCTCGTACTCACCTTTGTCCCCGTTTCTAACCTTTTCTTCCGTTGGCCTATCAACTAGGTCCAAGGAATATAATTGCTGAGTCAAATGATCTCGGATACGGAGACCACCTCTACACAGGGACTGCATTTTCAAGGTCCCTTGAGGAGTCGGAAAGTCGGCTCTTGACCTACCCTGTACGCGAACCTGTTGAGCAGTTGGCTCTGTTTCACTGTAGTTTTACATCATCAACTAGTGCAATGTTGTCTCTGTTCTGTTCACTGCAGAACGTCAGCCGAGCATCGATGGCCCTCTCCGCTGCCACTGGCCACGGCTATGACTGCCTGTCGTATCACTACGTGTTGGTCACCGGTGAACGGGAACGCCATATCACTGGTCATTCGCGCTTGGGAAGTCTGCCGCCTGTCGTCAGCCATCATACGTACGGTAGGTGGTGTGTGTGATGAAATGATGTACTGAAATGGAGAGCTGCGGGGGGGGGGGGGGGGGGGTAGGAGGAAGGGAGTAGGTGGAGAGAAAGAGGGAGTGTTTGTGTGCATGCGTGTGGACGGACTGTGTGCATGCCCGTGTGTATGTACGTTCATATGTGCATAACTATGCCAGTACTAGTATGTCTCGTCTTGGTATACAGATTTAGCAGCATAAAGAAGCGCCTTCACCTTGCCCCATTCTCTGTGTTGTCCTCTACCATGAGCAGGGTTGTGTCCAGGGAAGATGCCTTCCCAGAGCGAACCGTGCAGCAATGCCAGCATGTGCAGCGCCCAGTGCAGTGAGGAGATGCGATCATGTTCCTCAGGCCCATTGTTTGAAATCTTCTTGAAGCACCGGCAACAAAGCTTGGGAGAAGAAACATTTGGTGAGTCTCCAGGATACTCACAATGTGGTGTAAAAGGTTTGCAATGCTGGAATCTGGAAAAGTGGTCTTGATGGCCATTATAATCTGATAGTATAAACTAGCACGTTGCCAGAGTGTACAGTGGGGACTTTTCTTCTTAGTTTACTGTGAGTCCACAAATTTTCGGCCCTTTCAAATTTTGTCCTCCCAGGTCTAAAACACATTTCGGCTGCAACAAATTTTCGGCCTGTACTGCTGCTGCCTGTATACATTGTCACACTGAATCTTGCGAAACAAAATTTTGGACGCAACTAATTTACGGCCAAACTTGACCAGGCCGAAAATAGCCGAAATTGGATATGCGCCGAATATTTGTTGACTTACAATAGCTCATTCTCTCTCATACTCTTACTTCCACTCTCAATCAACACCTCTATGATTGTGTGTATCCCCCCCCCCTTCTCTCTCTCTCTCTCTCTCTCTCTCTCTCTCTCTCTCTCTCTCTCTTTCTTTCTTTCTATTTCTCTCGTTCAAAAGTAGCCTTTATCAAACCAAATGTTTTCAATCTGAGAATGCAAAACCCCCAGTACAGTACAATGCAAATTATATTGCAGAAACATGCTTACAGGACTGTCGGTCGTCGAAGAACTGTGGGTAAGCCTCCTAGCCTAGACCGTTTTTTATGTTCATGTATGCGACAGTCTATGCACAGTTGAGTCACCGTGTATACATTGGTATGCTGTGCTTGGTGAAATTCTAGCCTGGCCGTTCTTCGGCACTCAGTTCTTTGGCGCCCGACAGTACTGTAGCATTGAGCTCAGATAAATGCCTTTTAAAGGGGAAGTATACCCCAAAATCAAATTTTCACCAGTAGTAGTCTTCGGGGTGCTGAGTCCATTGGTAGCCAGTGCAGGCTGTCGTAATAAAACGACTCATCCGTGTTCCATTCCCGTGCATGGTACATGCATGGTGCGACGGCACAATGACAGCTGTCGCAAATCACACTGAGTATTACACGTGTTTTTTGGTGATTCCTGGTTAGCTGCTAGCTTTTCCCTAATCGAAGTTGTTGCCGCCGCGAAATCTGGGGGTTTGTGTTCGTCCTGGCGAAAACCGTGTTTTGATCCGTTGAGGGAGACGAGAGATACAGTGCGAAGACGTACGATCTGTCCGAGAATCGGCGAAGAAGAAAGCTTCGCAGACTACCCGTAGTGGTTGGGAACAGAATGGAACATATACCAGTCGATGCCTGTCATGGTAGGGATGACTGCTACGAAGTTTTAGCCCCATGCTCCCCAGCGCTTTTTAGCGCCCGACGATAATTACCAAATTTCATCGATTTTCCATGTGGATCAAAGCATAGTCTCCTCAATCTTCTCCAGTCGAGCTGAGTCTGGACGCTACAATGTCGAGACGCGAAAAGAGAACATGCATGAACACACAGGAGCATCACATGCAGCTGCATTCTGCCTTGACGAAGCTGAGAACAACACCAGCACCACGCATTTGGAAGACATTTCGAAGAAGACGAAGAACTACATATCCGCGTTCAAAAAAGCCTCTGTACTGTGTGTGTGCATGCAGTATGCATGCATGCATGCGCGAAGCACGGGGTCCGCGGATCAACTAACTTTACTTCGTTCAAAAATCATTGTGCCACACGGGTTGTATGATTTGTGTGCGATCATGGTCTTTCTTCTTGACAAACAAAAGTGAAGTTTTTCGATCTTCAAATCGCCATAGCGTCCTTGTCATGACTCCAAATCAGCTGAAACTTTACAGGAGGAATGAAAATGCCATGCTGAATCGATTGGTACCATTTTCGAAGGGTTTCCTTGAAAAATAAAATTTAGCCTGCACTGGCTGCCATTGGTCTTGGTCCGAGGAAGCTGAGACGCTCCCTTCCTCCTTTATTCCCAATCGAACTCGCGCATTTCCACCGAAACTGGGTGACTGCGTCCTACTAGATGGGGATTTGTATGCAAAAGTCACTAAAAGCGCCATTTCGTTCTTATAAAAGCACGGATGACCGCGGTTGGTCCAGATGTTGTAGTCTTTTGAACGCTGAGTCGACTGGTTTTGGTTCGAAAAGGCTGCGATACAGCGTTCGGCCCTTATTCCCAATCGAACACGGGTGACCAAGCGGTCACGTGCTCATGCCTACACCAGCCGCCTGGTCACCGTGCCTGCAGGCTACAACTTTCACACCAAGGTTCAACTGAAAGGTTCAAAGGCTCAACTCGAGTGACAGGAACGCTGCAAAAATTGCAGCCTGCAGGCACGGTGACCAGGCGACTGGTGTACGCATGACCACGTGACCGCTTACTCACCCGGGTATCCGTCCCCTTTTAAAGATGGACGCACTGAGGTGGACATTGACTGTGGATGATCCCATCTCAACCAGTGCCTACGCTTGCTCATTATGCTCCTTGCTTCTTCCTCCAGATCTGCTGCCACTGGTGACGGTGATGAGTTCGCAGGCGGCGGTTCTCGAAGCATGCTCTCTGCACCACACTCACATCACGCTGGCGGCCACGCTGGAATGGTGGCCCGGGTACGCGGACAGAGACCGTCGCCAGTGCCTCAACTCCCATCTGCCCAGCTGCTGGTGCTACTCGTCCTGCGCCGTGCGCATTGAGGCGCACATCTGGCTTGGCGATCAGGTCGTGACGTCACACACTGATGACGTAGGATATCTACATGTGGATGAACTTTTGAACAAGCAGTATGTGAGTTCTCAAACATTTAAATCTCATCCCTACCCATATCAATACAACTGTGAATGGTACCATTCGGCTGTTTCTTTTAAAATACAACGAACTCTTCTCCTCCATGCGCTCTAGAGCCGACCATTGCTACCCTCGGTAGCCATTACTCACACCAATAATTTCAAACAACAGAGGGGGTCACGGACAAAACGTTTCCTTCTGACGGCTGTGTCGGTTACAATATCCAGTATCACATTCTCTGAAGAGCCTTTGATAGGCGAAACAGCTGTCAGAAGGAAATGTTTTATCCGTGACGCCTTCGTTGTTTGAAACTATTGGTGTGAGTAATGGCTACCGAGGTAGCAATGGTCGGCTTTAGAGCGCATGGAAGAGGCGAATTTTATGTACCCCTATCCATGTAGTCACTATCCAATGGTTATGGTAAATTGGGATTTTAAATATGAGTCCTAATTTTCAGACTGGCCAAGCTTGAGTTGTTTTTATTACTTATGAACTCACCACCCTCGATTTGGGCCACATCCGAATTCACAACACAGTATCCCGGTGGTGTAGCCAATCACCTTCCAGTGCACGATACACGTCTCATCAGGCTTGGCTGCAATAGTCTAAATCATGTTGTTTTCATTCTGCGTAGCGCACCAAGGAACTCTTCAAGTCAAACGTGGTTCTGAAGTTCCCGATTCCCGACAACACTACTCGTTTTGACGGCGACCTCAGCCGGATCAAGGTACAGCTAAGCTATTCTGACTTGAAGTAGATTTTTAACCCTTGCAAATGTTGCTACTGGTGTTTTTGTACAAGATGAGTAATCTCAAGAGTCTTGTTTTCTCATTGCTGAGTGACCGTAAGCAGGTGATTGCTGTACTGCACAATAAGAAATCTCATGGCCTCTGATGTACAGTCAACTTTGCGTACAACGCCACTCGGCGGGGCATCAAAATAATATCCTTATTCGCGAATCGGCCTTATACCCGAATTCTCATTATTTGTATTACAGTTAGACGGGACTTTGCTCTGGGCATGGAAATTCTGTCGTTATTCGGGAATTGTCGTTATATCCGCAGTCGTTATTAGTGAAGTTGACTGTATGGGTTGGTGTGTGTATACTGGGTCATGTGTAGATGGTGTTCCGTGTGTATTACACTGGTGATGTGTTTGGACCTAGTAGAGCGGAGTGGAGCAATGCAACGCTGAATGCATGTGAGTAGTGTGATGGTCGTCACTACTGTTTTCAGGATTAGAACTGCTGTGTGTTGGTGTTTGCGTTCGTTCGTCCGTGTGTGCGTGTTTGTGCGTGTGTGTATAGATGTTTGTGTGTATACGTGTGTATACGTGTGTGTGTGTGTGTGTGTGTGTGTGTGTACGTGTGTGTGTGTATGTGTGTGTGTGTGTGTGTGTGTGGGAAAAATAAAAATAAAAAAATGAAAAGACCAAAAATAGGGATTCACTGGCCAGAAAAATCACTTCAAATAGCTGTACGGTGTAGACCAGGCTGAATAGTGACGGTCAATTCTTCAGCCTTGCAAGCTGTTGAATGGTGCAATCCCAGCACAAGTTGCTATGGCTTCTGCCGTAGCATTGCTATCATCGCCTCCGGCGATGGGCGTCAAAGGTCAAAGGTCAAAGGTGTGTGTGTGTGTGTTATTCCCTCCTGGCCCCTGCCACACAACAATGCAACAATATGCTTGCTATAGCTGACTTCTTCTAACAATACATGATGTGCGCGTGTGTACATGTATGTATGCATGTGTGTGTTGGTCCAGGCGTGTGGATACATATGTATCTGCATGCAGGAGTGTTGCATTTAACCCTTTGAGACCCCAACGATCGAATTCGATCGTTTGGTATACAGTGACACTAAAATAATTATATCTCTGATATTCCTTCACCGATTTTCATAAACAAAGTATCTACGTTTTGAAAAGACGCTTGGCTATCATGTCGAAGTTATCCGAAGTCTCTAGGAGTTACGATGCCGCCGTGGTGAGACTCGAAGTCGGAGACAAACTGAAAAATGCACTCAGATCGAAAAATTCAAATTTTCACGCTGCACTTGGCATGAGATTTCCCCGGAATGGTACGTCATACTCAAGCATGCTGCACACCAAGATTTTGCGCTTGAAACGAGCTTTCCGCTGTAGTTTATTTGAAGTCGATGCGATGAAGGAGAATGGAATGGCGGCTGTTTGAACTTTGCTGAAGCTGTTCGCGCACGGCTGCTGTTTTGGGCGGCATTATAGGCCACGCAGAGCAGAGGCTGTGCAGGTAGTTGGCTTGAGTGTGGCACTATTCTCTTCGTCTTGGAAATACCTTTCCAACGGTGGTTAGTTTGTAAAAATCGGTGAATGTTTCATAGAGATACGAGCGAAAGTGCATGTCATTTGAAGGTGCGTAAATTGTCGTACTTTCAGTGGGGTCTCAAAGGGTTAAACCCATTTTCTTTACAAGCTGTGTGAATCATCAAAAAGACATTGTTTTGCGCTGGATATGTTCTTCTGCTTCTTTTTGCACGCAGCGTGTGGATTCAGCCACACACATCACACACTAGAATCAAGTAAGAAGCATAAAGCCATAGTCCTATTTTATGGTAAAAAAAGGAGGACGAAATGTTTCGAGTTATGACTAACTGTCCATAATTAAATTGGCTCGCCATCCGAGTTCAACTTTACAATCTTATGATCTACTGTTACCAATCTTATGATCTACTGTTACCATAGGCTTTAGGAGCTGCATCTGTGCCCTGATCCTTGAAGGGTGGTTGCATTCCTACGGATGCGGAAACCTCGGCCTCTAGCTGAGTCTAACGCGAGCCGTGATTTTTACAATTTTTTGAAATTACCATAGCTGTCTTTATTAACATATTTCACGATAGAATCAGTATTCTGAAGAGACCTAGCTTCATTGTCCTCACTATAAACCATTGATGCTTCTGCAAGCACTCAAATCCATCACCTTTTCACTTACAAGTACTTACAGAACCTCCAAGTGATTCTCGTGAGGCTTGAAGCTGGACTGTTTCTCTAGTCCAGTGGTCAACTTTATATCTACTTCTAGAACACTGGTGTCAGCATACGGAAGGTCATTTACGATCGTCTTGCTTAGGGGCAATAACCTACCGCTAGCGTGATTGGTGGTGGTGATGTTTTGCCAAAGCAAGCGGTTATCATGTCGTTACCCGCTTACGTGTTCGTGTACTATACACTCATGCTGGCTGACAGTTCGACTTATTCAACATTGAATATATTTTTCTCCAGGTTTGCTGCCTTTGATGGATTTACACAATGCCAGTGCACGCGTATTGCCAGCTGTGTCGAGTGCCACAGCAACGGCCGCACCACCAACTCCCAGCCTCGTTGATCTGAGCATCATGTGGCTGCTCCGGTTTCCACAATCGCGCGACACTGTGCAGCCTTCAAGCTGCTTACTGGGCCCGGAGTACAAGCATGTGTGCAGTGGTGCAGGCACGGCACTCTTCAAGGTGTCAATACTGCAGGACGGGGTTCTGTCTTCAACGACTTCTCGTATCGTCAATTATCACAATATTCTACAGCAGGTAATATTGCAGTGCGGTGAAGAGATTGTAGCAACTTCGGCGATACTAAGGGAATTGAGTTTTGCTCCATATGTGGGGGACTTGAATTCTCAAGTCGGCAGGAAAGGCGCAAGCTCCCATGTAGGGAGAAATACACAGTGAAAGAAATTCTGCGTCAGGCAAAAGTATTTACTGTCTAGCTTTTTTGATTTCTTGCCGACTTCGGTGTTTCAAGATTTTTAAACATTTTGGCATTTTGTGTTTTTTTGGGGGGGGGATTGGCCTGACCTGACCTTGAAACAAGTTGTGCATCATTCTGTTCCCGTTCTTATTGCCCCAGGCCAATGGCAGCGTATTTGAGACGCGTCTGCAACTCACGCCTGCAGACTTTGACGTCGACAATCAAACCCTGCATTGCCTGCCTGGAACAGCCACTGTGACAGTAAGCCCCCTCCTGCACAGCATGCTTTCCAATCGCCAGTCAAAACACGAATGCAGCTGATAATTCTATTTTACGATATTAATCGATTTCAATCATTTTAGGTCTTCGTTGTCACATGTGCATCCTTTGAGTTTTCCGAATGCAATCTAGGAAAAAAGTCATGCTGATGTTTGCAATGCTGTTGGGATGGATGCTTTTCAAAATATACTCTCGGATTAACCTCTCCTCTTCTTGCCATTTCTCACTCACTCATTCTTTTATATCTCTCTCCTTCTCTCTATCTCTCTATCACTCTATAATAGTTATATTATTATTCTAGCTATCTATTTCTCTCTCTCTATCTATCTATCTATCTCTCAATCTTCTCGCCTCCTGTGTGATTAGATTCTCGTCCAAGGATCATTCCTGAACTACACACAGTCTCGCAGTGAAGCTATTGCAAGAGCGCCAAAAGGTACGTACACCCAGGGATAACTGTTGAGAAATGTTCCTGCTCAGTGATCCAGCTGGCCACAGACTTTTCTTCCATGGTTTCAGGGCCTGCTGGAGAGCCGGGTCAGCCGGGTCACGCGCCCGGCTGGGGAACTGCACGACCTGGCTGAACAGGTAACACCGGGTCCAGTCTGACCCGGCTGAAAAATGTCTCAAACTGACAATGGATTCATAAAATTCCGGTATTTTACGACTCGCGGACCCCATCTCTTGCAAATCTAGCGCAACCGTACACACTACAGTCTACAAGCGACAGAAACTCGGCTAGGGTCAACTGCGGTCAACTGGTTCGAGCGCGATCTGGCCAGCTAGCGGCGAGCAGGAAGTCAGGACATACAAAGTCGATGGGGCAGGCAGTCAAAAGCGTGAATTTGGCTATAGCCTTGACACAGTTGCAATTTTTCAGCTGACTGGTGATTTGGACGATGGAGCCCGCAGCGAAGAGAAAAAGAACTCACGCTTTCCAAGACTCTTGGAAGAAAGGTCGACCCTGGCTGGACTACGACCATGCCAGTCTATCCATGTCATGCGCTTTGTGCAAGACGCATTTCCAAAGGAAGATGAGCGGCGATGGATTTGGTCGTTCGTCCTGCTACTAGCACTAATTAGAAAACAGAATTCCTTTTTTTCAAATTGTTAAATCAGAATCCAATGGAACTGCTTTGCATTCTTCACGTAATGTCGTTTACCTTCTACGTTTGCGGACTTTGATAGTTCGCCTTGTTCTCTAAAATTTCCGATTTCCGGCAATACATTCGCCTTTCTGTTTTCCTGCATTTTGAGCAGGCTTTTTGGTTGTTTTTCTGCCGGATGATCTGACCCGGCTTGACCCGGCTGGCCTGCATGCGCCAGGTACACTCTGACCGGGCTGTGTTGAATGTCTAGAGCAGGCCCTGGGTTTGTCATATCCAGTGCGCCAAAGTGCCTTGATCTTTGAGGCTGGTGGTATTCCTGCAGGTGTGGCACTTCAACCTACTACTAACTTCAATAAGAACTACTGTAAGGGCCATTATTCTAACGGGGCGCATATATATTATATCGATTTCCTAAAATTGACTGGTTTACGTGTACCAAAGGTAACGACTCCCACTCATTCTCAACGCTCAATATCAACAGTATTGTATCGATTTCTGTATTTTTATTTTAAATACTGGACATGGATATTGAATTAAACTGTACTCAGTGACTTTTTTTACATTTTACAGGCTACGTTTTATTATTGTAAAGCTTTCCTTTTGATCTTGTCTCTTATTGTTGTGACCTTTCCACAATAATTGTGTTGCAGTGTCAACAAAACAAAAAATTCTGTATAACGATTTCTATTTAACGACAGATTTCTCCTCGTTCTAACTCGTTTGAATTAGCACTTCGTTATTAATATGGCTTTTACAGTATGAGGCCTCCCACAGCCCTGGCCAGAGAATTCCAATGTCATGAATATAATAATGCCAAGGGCTACGCGACCCTACCAACACACACACACACACACGCACGCACGCATGCACGCACACGCACACACACACACACACACACACACACACACACACACACTTGTACATGTTGCTCACTGCCAAAACTGGTCACGTGGGTCTCCCCGGGAGAGGGGAGAGAGACTCAAAAGGAATCTTGGAAAGATGACTCAATTGGCTATTGAACCGTCCAACGGCCGACACCCCCTGAAATCCCCAAAACTCTGGGTGGACTTGAAAATGATCCCACTTATGGGCTCACCACACCTCCGTAAGTGGGTGAGGACAAGGTGCAGAAAAAGAATCGACGCATCAGGGTATCCGTCCCGGGATCCAACTGCGGGATTCACTGGGGCACACACACACACACGCATGCACGCACGCACTCTCTCTCTCTCTCTCTCTCACACACACACACACACACACACACACACACACACACACACACACACACACACACACACACACACACACACACACACACATACAGACCACTCTTCCCACGTGAACGCGGCGCTATTTTATCCACAAGGTTGGATTTTTCTGCCTAGAATTGTACATGTACCGTTCTTCAAGGTGCTGAATATGGTTTATCTCAAAACCAGTAGCGAGAGCCTTGATACATGTGAGTCTCATGGTCTAGTGGTGCTAGTAGTGTGAGGAGAATGTAGTGTAAGGAGTGCATGTTTACTGTGTGAGCTCTCCTTCAGCCACACACCAGCATACAGTGTTACAATATCATAGGGGTGACAAGTATACAAGGGATGTTTTTGGGAAATTGGCCCCTCATGTGGTAGATTCGGTGTCACGTGTTTGTTTCGTCTTGGTCGTTGTGCACACGCGTCCTTGGTTGGTGGTGTTGTGCGCATGCGCGAGACTGTGTGAGCTGGTCTTTGGTCTGTCGTCTTGTCAAAATGTAGTCGTTTTCCGTGATCCTGCTTGTTATAATAAAAAGAGTGTAAAAAGGCAGTCCAGTGGTGGCGGTTGAGCTGATGCAGTGATGGAGAAGCAGTGTTACAACTACTACACTCATAGCCCGTATTCATTGCTTCAAAGATGACACGGATGGAGGATGTTTTGAAAATCACAATATGAAAATCGTGGGTGTGCCGTTGCCACGCCGGTTCCGACACCCCTGGGTATTGGATGTTTGTTCCAGTGGATTCTCGCCAAGGGATATGTTGTGTAGGTATGCGTGAGGATTGTCCTGTCCATGATCGGAAATATAATCATAGCGCCCTGTGTTGGCATGATTCTATCCATTTCGTGCGTTACTCTTTAGATTGGTGCTCGCTGATGAGACAATGGAAGGAACACCTGGCTCCAAGTACTCGTCCGGCTCTGACAGGTACGATACTTTCGGGCTTGTGTTTCATTGTGCGTGATGATGACGATGACGATCCGAAAGTCTCTTTTATGGGCAAAGTGGAGCACAATCATCACAATATGATAATGATGATGGCTATGGTATTCAAATGGATTTAGCCCAGTCACATGGCTGCACATTTGTACAACTGCATTATGGCTGCACTTGACCTAACTCCACAACTACACCCATGACAATTCCTGCTTTACTGGCAATCACCACAATCACCATAGTCAACATACTGGAGAACTCTGATTGGAGTGTACTCCCACCTGTGGAGCACTCCACAGTAAAGTGCTCCGGGCAATACGTAACACAGCCATCATTACCACTAGGCTGTGCAGTGAATGTGAAGGTCAAATTCCTTGTCTCACCACTGTATCTTCACAACATATTAGTGCCGCCCAGAAACTACTTTTTCCTGATTAGCTATAACTTTGTGGCGGCGAATCCTTTGATGCTATTTTAGGCTCCCAATTATTTGACTTGCTGTGTATGCGTGTATTTGTGCTCTTGGTGTGTTAGGGTTCACAGTCGGCGGGGTCCAGAGAAGAACAGACTCAATGTCCGTACTGATCACTATACCGGTCGTGTTATGCGTTCTGCTGCTGACAGTGGTGGGCCTAGGTATGGTGATCGTAAAGTGGCCCATATCAAGTGATATCCACTCGCACATTGTGACACCAGCCCTGCCGAGCAGATCATCAAGAATGCATGACCATACCCCAAATTGCAGTGTAGCTCACTATTTCGATCATGTATGGGCCAACCTTCTCCCCCACCCCCACACACAAGCACACACAAACACCCTCCCAACTCCTGTGGTGGCAGCCATCTCAGTTGAGTATTTGGTAGAAAGCTTGCTGTGTTTGTCACGGCTACAGCTCTCTTACTCTGATGCTTTGAACCAGTTTGAAAATGCTCTGCAGTTCATACGACTGAAATTGTGATCGAGTCGGCGGGTCACTCTGAGCTCGGTGGACGAGATAAACAGAGTCGAACCAGCTAGCTGTCTGAAGATGGAGTATATCTCTCACCTAGTCTGTAGACTTGAACAGGAGTGCAGTTGTTCCTGTTCAACATTACAATTTGGTATGGTGAATGTGTGCGTTCTTTCTGCAGTTATCGTGGTCCGAAAGCTCAGCTGGTTTGGACGCGAGCCGAAGCTGCTGCAGCGCATACTGTCGGAGCGAGAAGAGGCGAACGACGGCGTAATGCTGGGTAGGCGGAAGTCTCTGGCTCTGCTGCTCAAGGGTAGTAGTGGCTCGCCAAGTCCGATGTCAACACTGCCCAGTCCGAATAGGTCTGAGAAGGTCAACTACAATTACATGTGAGTTGGGACTTGTTCTGTGTTGTTTGGTGATCATGTATTTGTGATTCACTTTGTAAGTGCGCTTACCTGCCCTACACAATATGGCCAAGACTCATATCAGTGGGTGCGTTCATGCTTGCATCAGCGCAGGTCTCCAACTCACCAAAAAACACATTCAAAAAGAAAATTCAATTATATTATTTAAAAGTTTTGCACAATTTTGTCTGTCTTGGATCATTTCTTTGCGACTTTCCATGTTCATGTATGCTACTCTGTCTGGTTTGTGAGCTGAAATAGAACCACACTCATACCTCGGTTATCCGCACTCCCAAGTTACGGGCAATTCGGTCTACCGGGCACCCTTAGGGCGAATTTCAGCGGAAATGTTACTACTTTCTGTCATTTTTGTGGCAACAGTGATGTCACATGCCTTAACTATGGCCTTTACCCCTCAAGATGTATTTGATTCGGATAGTTCAAAGTTACGGGTAGTGCCCTATCCCGGACTGTCCGGATAAACGAGGTATGAATGTACAAAACAAATGAAGCCACTAAGTCTATGTGTTCTTTCTCTCGCAGACCAATGGACAAACTGCACGAAGCAGCAAGCAAGGGTGACTGGACATGCTTTCCACCGCAACTAGAGTTTCCCGTCGGTCAGCTGCACATGGAAAGGTTGGTAGTGTTGTGCCAGGATTGAAGTACAGTCAAATTCCCTAATATCGACTGCAGATATAACAACAGAATTTCCATGCCCAGAGCAAAGTCCCATCTAGCTGTATACATTATAGTGAGACTTCGGGTCTAAGCACAATTCCTGAATAAGGGCACTTTTCTGATGCCCCGCCGAGTGTCGTTAGACGCAAAGTTGACTGCAATGGGTTGATGCCCTGATCACTAATATCACAGAGGAGTAGTTGAACAGCTTGCCTTGCACAGACACAGACACACACACACACACACACACTTTCTCTCACACATACACACACATACATACACACACTTTCTCACACACACATGCAAACACACATACACAGGGGAATACGATTTCTTCTTGATATTTGGGCTTCATACACCTGGGAATACTGATCCTCATAATCACTCACCATGATGCATAGTACAGTTCAATGAAATCCGATCAGCCCTGTGCCAGTTCCTAACCCAGTGTTTGCATGTGTAGGGCCGGCTGCACGGTGCCATGCATGGCACTCGCTTGATTGGATGTAATGAGCAGCACTGTACGTTATTTAAAAAGGAAAAAAAGTAAATAGAGGTTTAAGCTTATCTTATTATGGAAGCGTGTTTTGAAGAGAAACCTGATTTTCAAGATACACTGTCGGCACACAAGCCTGGTTTTAGTGTTGACACACATTGAAACACCTGGTGTGAATATGAGCCTAGCCCTGACATCGGTTTGTACAAGAATAAGCCCGGCTATTGTAGGCGACATTACGGTATTGCATATGCTGGGTACTACTACTTCCTATTGAACTGTGCCGCTGTATGTGTTGGTTTATGCATGCTCATTTCAAACCAACTTTATATTCAGACAAATCGGCACCGGCCAGTTTGGCTGTGTGTGGCTGGCAAAGGCGTACGGCGTCCAGGAGGACCAGGAATGGACGCATGTAGCTGTGAAGGTAAGACACACGGTGTGAAATTATCCCCCCCCTTCTCCGGTACCGGGTACTATAACCCAGCCCCGCGGTTATTACCATCCTGCCCGGGCAAGACATAGAGTCACTTTGACCAGCAGACCGTAGGCCGAGTCCTCTTTAGTGCCTGTTGTTATGGACTGTGATTTGCAAGGGCTTAGTCCGCCTTCATCTGATACGTAATGCATACCAAGGCTTTAGATGCTGTATCTGCGCCTTGTCCTTGAGGGTGGTGGCGTTCTTACGGATGTGGAAAGCTCGGTCTCAAGCCAAGTCTAATGCGAACTGAGCTTTTTCCCCCAAGACACTCCTTCACAGCCTACACTTGAGAGCATGATTAGTGTTCACTTTACATCTACTAAGAAAGTCAGTCACTTTTAGGGCAAGTACTTGGTCTTGGAGTCCGCCTTCAACTTTAACTTAGTGCACGTATCCCATTTGTGAATAATCACATTTGGACGGGGTTTATATGCGTGCATGGAGAGTGTACTGAAGCTCAGCAACTCCGACCTTTTTCACTCGGAGGCTCTCTCTTCCTCTCTCACTACCCCTCTCACTCTCCCTCTCTCTCACTTTCTTTCTCTTAATTTTTTTCTCTCCCGTACACACACTGTCTCTCTCCCTCTTCCCCTGTTCGTTTACGTGTGTGTAGATGTTGAAGGATGATTCTCCAAAAAGGGATGCGGAGGATTTCCTCAAAGAAGCTGAGAACCTAAGGTTAGCATGGAAGTAGCTAGCATCAGCCCAATCAGCTAACTGCAAGTTGGTTAGAGCTGTCATTGCTTGCCTGTACAGCAAGAATCTACGGTGAAAGAGTCCAGTACCCCTAGTACTATGGGGTATAGTGAAAATTTTTAAGGAATGTTCATCGCGCCTCATCAATCACTGGGCCCCAAAGAAAACAGTGCATTTCCTTTCTTTTTTTCTTAATTAAAGTAGAGATGTCTATGCCCATTTGGGGTGCGCTATGCTGATGTGCCACGGCATTGACGCATCTTATTGGGAAAACAAACATTACCCCCAACAGTGGGCAACTCGTGTCTTGGGAATCTATGAAACCAGGACTTCATATTATGTGACACATCTGTGCACACAATCTGCAGCCTATGCATGATACCTGCACAGTTGTACACTACTCTGCTTTGAGTACGGCTCTATGGTCGATCACTTTGCACTCTTTGCCAACTGGACTCCCAAAAGCCCACCTCAATGGTCTGCGGGGGGCAGAACTGTCGGTGTGGCTCACGGCTTGTGTCTCATACGGTGTCTGCAGCACATTCTATCATCCGAACATTGTCCAGCTACTTGGTGTCGTTGTCCACGGCATGCCCAAGATGGTGGTGCTGGAGTACGTGGACGGCGGAGACTTGCTCACACACATGCAGACCTACCGACAGGTAAGACCCAGAAGTATTCTGTGGTGCAGTTGTAAAGAAACGGCAAGGAGAGAACAACATTATAATGGCAATCACGAGAACAAGTCGAATCGACAGGTCAATACTTTCATCGTGCAGTGTGCAGCTGTGATCAGGATATGTAGAAACAAGATGGGGACAAGGGAGAGTTGAATAATTTCAGGTGTGCCCTCTGCTGTGACAAGGTGCTCCAGAACAGAGACACATTATTCAGCTTTCCTATCAGTTTCCGGTAGTATTTTGGCATGAAGCATGATTGTCTTCACATTTATGTGTCCTGCAGAGACAAAGAATAGTACTGCTGCCTTTGAATGAGTTTATCCTTTTTTTTAAGGCATTTTGATCACTTTGACAGGAGAACAGGGATTCTACTATACCGGTAGCTTATGCATCTGTGTGTGTGTGTGTGTGTGTGTGTGTGTGTGTGTGTGTGTGTGTGTGTGTGTGTGTGTGTGTGTCGGGCGTGTGTCGGTGTGTGTGTGTGTGTGTGTGTGTGTGTGTGTGTGTGTGTATGTATGTGTGTGTCGGTGTGTGTGTGTGTGTGTGTGTGTGTGTGTGTGTGTGTATGTGTGTGTGTGTGTGTGTATGTGTGTGTCGGTGTGTGTCGGTGTGTGTGTGTGTGTATGTGTGTGTGTGTGTGTGTGTGTGTGTGTGTGTGTGTGTGTGTGTGTGTGTGTATCTGTGCATGCCCGTGCATGTGTACGAGTGCATTGTTGTGTGCATGCATGAGTGCGTGGTCGTGGGTATGTGCGTGTATGCATGCATGCATGTGTGTTTGTGGGCAATGGCTTGTTCAGAGCTCTCACTTGCTGAGTGAGATGGACTATGTGGACATGGCACTGGATGTAGCAAAGGCACTCCACTATCTTGGGACTAAGAAACTAGTCCATCGGTGAGTTGACTATGACAATGATTTTAACACTAAGCAAGTCATTAGACCAATATACCGGAGAAGGGGCAGTGTTGGGATATAGAGAGTGAACGACTGGAGCAGTGAGGATGCGGGAGGGGGGGGGGGGTGGAAGTGAGAGGGAGAATGGTGGAGGGAGGATGCGGGAGGGAGGATATGGGAGGGAGAATGATCCTTTAAAGAAAATTCATGTGAAAAGTAGAGGAACTCCACTACTATATGGGTCTCACTCTAATATATTCTGTTTTGAGGATATAGCAGACTGCATGCAATTTTGGAGTGCCACAAATGAAAATTAATTGTATAATTTCATGAAGTTCAGGAAAACAAATCGAGGTCACATGTGCATCTATCGGAGAACTAGCCAGATAATATTGTTACTAAAGCATCCTTCAACTTCTCTCACAGCAAGAATGTCCACTTAGAATATGGATATGCATAGAAAGGACCAATTGGTGCGCATGTTCACTGGTTTGAGGGAAAGATGCAAACGGGAAAAGTCTGAAGAAATAATTGACTGTCACCACCAGGACTCGAACCAGGGACCCTCAGGCGACGCTCTAACCACTGAGCTATGGTGTAGTCGTTATCCCAGCAGAGACCGTTCAGCATTTTCTTCAGACTTTGGTGATCGTGTATTTGTGGTTCATTGTGGTAATTGTGTCTGCTTGCCACCTACAATTTCCTTTGTAGTGACGTGGCAGCTCGCAATTGTCTCGTGAAGACCTTATCATCCACTCTACCCGGAGTCAAGACACGGATCACAAAGCTTGCAGGTAAGTTCTACTGTGAAACCTGTGTAAGACGACCGCTCAAGGGACCTTCAAAATGTGGCCTCTGTTACCAGGTGGTCTCCTTATCCAGGTTCATTTGACTGGAACTTATAGCATCCCTTGGTCCTGGTTTCTGCGGTCTTCTAGGACAGGTGATCACCTTATCCGAGTGTACTGTAAACTGGTTGATAAATATGGTGGTAAAGACACACCTGGCAATATGGCGGTAAACACACGCCTACCCACACACGCTCTCTAGGCTGCAAAGTTCTGGCACAGAGCTCTCCTTCTCACTGTAACTGCCTAATGTTTTCAGGGTATCAATGTTCGCCATTTTCGCAAGAAAAGCATGACGCAAATATGCATATTGACCAACGTGAAATCAAACTTTAACAGTGAGTGTATGTGGCCACAGTGCTCTGCGAACATTTGCCATCGTAAACTCGCTGGTTCTGAGAGATCGTGGAAATTTTGTGAAGTGGATATTGGGGGTTTACAGTACACAGAATACATGTGCGTAGTTTGCTGCTGGGAGTAACATCGCACTCCTGATCACAAACGTCACATGCAATATCCGGATATTGCGTGTGAAGTTTGTGATCAGGCGTTATGTGTTGCCTCTTTTGTATGGATCCGAATGTGTGTGTGCACGTGTGTGTGTGTGTGTGCACGTGTGTGTGTGTGTGCATGTGTGTGTGTGTGTGTGTGTGTGTGTGTGTATGCACATGTGTGTGTATGTGTGTATGTGTGTGTGTGTGTGCGTGTGTGCGTGTGTGTGTGTGTGTATATATGGATGCGTGTGTGTGTGTGTGTGTTCGTGTGTGTTTGTGTGTATGTTCTCCTATGCTCCACTTACATGCATTGCCGACCCATAAAGATTTTGGCCTGGCACGCAACGTACGAGGGTAAGGAATGTAAAGAAGCTTCCATAATGTAACCTATTTCTTTTCATGTTTACATCAATTTCACTGTAGAGATTGAGCAGAATGTTGGCAGGTTAAGTTGTTGCAAAATTCGTTCCTGCAAGAAATTTTGTGGGTTGTGCATGAACCGACCACACACCACCACTGCGCTCTGCGGCCAACCACTAACACTTCCCGCAACACTTAGAGGTTCCTTCCAAGTACTGAAATAATTTCTTCGGATAGCCGTGTCGGTCATTGCATAGAGTTCAAAGATGCTAAATCAACGGCCCAGAGCAGGAAGGACTGCATAGTTGATTCTCAGTTTAGCCTTGATTTTGGTGCAAGCTGGGCTGCAGCAACTTTACCATATTCAACCGATCAGAGCCGAGTGAGACCATCAGATGCTCAGAATATAACCCCGATTAATTTTCCGTTGCTTCACCCTGCTGTCGTTCTTCTCGTGTGTGCTGGGTGCGTGCGTGTGTATTTTGCAATCTGTTATCTAATAACAGTACTCATGATTGCTACACGCTGATACGCGGAGATGCTCTGCTACCCGTCAGGTGGATGGCACCAGAGTCGATAGCGAAAGGCGTCTTCACCAATGCGTCAGACGCCTGGTGAGTTATTTAGCACCTGGAGTGTAGTGCTGTACAGTGTACTCTATAGTCTATCAGTTACTGCAAGTAGTAGCTAGCAGTCGGATATGGGTTAATGCTGCTCCGATATGAGTGGTTGAATCTCATACCCACGGCCTGGTTGAACATCATTCTCAATCCTCGGACACTTGTCTGAGGGTTGTCTTAGCTTCGCTATGTGCATGAAACGCAGCATTACAACAATGACTTAGCCGGTTGTTGTCTGTACTCTTCTGCCTTCGATGTATCTGTCTGCAAATGCCCGTGTGTTTGTGAACGTGCACGCGCACGTCTGTTTTTCTGAAAGTGTATGTGCATGTAATTGTTTGTGAACTTGTATCTGCATGTAATTGTTTGTGAACGTGTATATGCATTTAAATGTTTGTGGATGTGTGCAGGTCGTTTGGTGTACTCATGTGGGAGATCTATACGCTGGGCAACACACCGTACAGCGAGTGTGGACCCAGCCATTGTGTGGCTGCTCACATCAGCAGTGGTGCCGTACTCGACCAACCAGCCAGGTGCCCGAAGAGAATGTAAGTCGTGCTTTGCGTTCACAATGCTGCCGATTGGCACACAAAAAGCAGAGTGTGCTGAACGATGTACAGAAAGCCGACTGCTGCTAAAACGCACGCACAGAAAATTTAATCAGAATGCCGCTGAAACGCACTTGGCATGCAATGAAGACTTGTGTCACTGAGGCCATGTAGCTCTCAGTGGAAGTACAGTGTACGTATTTCATAAATGTACGGAAGTTGACTGCAGTAGAACACTGGTAAGACGCACCCGCATCGTCCACAGGAAAGTCTAGTATTCGAGGTACTTTCTTATCCGGGCAAAACTTAATGTCAGTATGGATCAATTTACCTATGCTCTGGATAATGCACGTACTAAGCAAGAGTATGGAGGTATTGAGGTCCACTGTACTACAAGTTACTGTATAACACCTCTATTTCGGTGTAATTTAAATTTCGGTAACTTCGGTACTGGTCCTGGATCACCTACTTGAAGTAATTTAACATTACACCTAAATTTCCCAAAATACATGTACCAAAAATATGTAAAAATCATGAAAATCGCTGTCAAATTAAAAAAAATCAGCTTGTATACTGGTAACATACATACACGTAACATGTACCGGTATCAAGAGTACATAACCCCAGGGTTATGTACTCTTGATACCGGTATACATACATGTATGTGGAGCCTTTTGGCCTTGGCGGAGATATTAGTGCAAGAGCGTTTTTTTTTTTTTTTTTTTTTTTTTTTTTTATTTTTTTTTGGTGCCATGCATGGCGAATTTATCCTTACACCGAAAGGTCAGGGGTTGGCTTTTACCGAAATTTTACAACACCGAAAATAAGGTGATATACAGTAACAAATATTCAGCACATACAGTGGTCCCATATTCAGCACATGCGGTGGTCACATATTCGGCACATACAGTGGTCACATATTCGGCACATACAGTGGTCCCACTGTAACCCGGCACCGTTTGTGCCACGGAAATCTGCTGGATTTGGGAGGGTGCCGGATTAACAAATCGGATTTACTGCTGCAATGTGCATGAAGAGGACATTTTGGCTACTGAAAATTGTGCTGGTTTATCGAGGGAGCTGGTTTATAAAGTGATGGATTCGAGAGTTACGACTGTACTTATTTCCGGCTATTTTCGGCCAGGTTATGCTTGACCGAAAATTTGTTGCGGCCGACGTTTTGTTTTGCACGGTTCAGTGTGACAGTGTACACAGCCACCAGTAGTACAGTCTGTCCTCTTTTATCCGGTCCTCTTTTATCCGGTCCTCTTTTATCCGGTCCTCTTTTATCCGGTCCTCTTTTATCCGGTCCTCTTTTATCCGGTCCTCTTTTATCCGGTCCTCTTTTATCCGGTCCTCTTTTATCCGGTCCTCTTCTATCCGGTCCTCTTTTATCCGGTCCTCTTTTATCCGGTCCTCTTTTATCCGGTCCTCTTTTATCCGGTCCTCTTTTATCCGGTCCTCTTTTATCCGGTCCTCTTTTATCCGGTCCTCTTTTATCCGGTCCTCTTTTATCCGGATCCCTCGCCATCCGGAAGAAAATCGTTGGTTACCGATTTACAGCGTATGCCATGCGTACATACAGCATTTGTGTTCGATTATCCGGTTCCCTCGCCTATCCGCGTATTTTGTGGAAAAACGGTTGTGTGCGGTTAAGCGAGGTGTGACTGTAATGCTCGAACATTTGGTGCGTTCGAAATGGGTTTTAGCCCTGAGAGGCCGAAATTTGAATGGACCGAAAGTTTGTAGATTAACAGTATACCAACTTAAACAAAATGCTTTTCTAGGTACGGTATGCCTATGGCACCTGCTGTTTGAAGTAACGTTTCTTACAGGTAGCCTTTCTCACACTCGCCGAACAGACTGCCATGCAGGTTTATGTCCGTACTTACGTGGATATGCTTATCGGGCTGAACTGCACATCATGACAGTTATTTACGGTTTGAGGAAAATAGGGCGTCGTGCACGGCATACAGCAAGAGCTCCACAGTGCATTGTCTTTGGTTTACCCTTTCACATATTTTGCTGGGTTTAGCAATGTGATAAATGTGCAGACAAGCTGGTCCAAAACTCCTTTCCAGCTGTACTAAATTAGGATTGTGAGCACAACTTGGCCTAACCCAGGAAAGACCATTTTCCTGATTGGAGTATAGTCTTCATTTCACACAATGTCTCGGTGTATTTCTTGTCATATTCCGTGCTCTAGGTACATGATGATGAAGAGCTGCTGGAGCAAGAACCCAAAGGGCCGGCCCTCGTTCCACCACGTCTGCGCCATGCTGCACTCGTTCCGCAAGGGGTTCGTGCGTCGGTCCACCAAGAGTACAGCCGTCACCATGAGCACTCTCGGCAGCGTGGGTGAGTACCTGGCCTGCGACGCGGGCACTAATCTGGATCGACTGGCAGCGCACAGCGTGGCCTGTCCGCCAGCCGTCTTCGAACACAGCAGCAGTAGCAGCATCGCGACGAGCAGCAGAAGCCGTGCTACGTCGTCGCCGCCAGACCTGGGCGTGAGCGCCGTCCGCCAGCCCGCGCAGAGCGGCTCCGTGTTCGAGCATTCTCCGTGCACACAGCGCCTCGGCATGAGCAGCATCGGCGACTTCCTGGAGCCGGGCGGCTACGAGAAGCTGGACCGCAACGCCACGCACAGCACAACCTGTCCTTCCATTGTGGTGGAGGACCACCACAGCGCGAGCTCCACGTCGACTCCTGGCATGCTGAACAGCCAGCGGAATTTGCACGACGGCAGTAGCTCAGTGTTCGAGAGCAGTCCGCTGCTGCAGCGTCGTCACGTCGTCCATGACGAACACCCTTCTACAACCGCTAGCGATGGCGGCAATGAACGCCTGGGTCGCAATCTGGCCGTCAGAGCCACGCCGACAACCCCTGCCTCTCTGAGTGATGTGCCTGTCAGCGGTGATGACGTGAGTGTATTCAAAGATGGCCGATCCAGTGTGGAGTCGCTGTAATGGAGATATAGTTTATTATTATGTATTCATCGATGAGCCGATCGAGTGCAGAGTCGCTGTGAAGGCAAACATTGTATTCATCGATGAGCCGATCGAGTGCAGAGTCGCTGTGAAGGCAAACATTGTATTCATCGATGAGCCGATCGAGTGCAGAGTCGCTGTGAAGGCAAACATTGTATTCATTGATGAACCGATCCAGTGCAGAGTCGCTGTAATGGCGAAACATGTATTCATCGATGAGCTGATCAAGTGCAGAGGCACTGCGAAGGAGAAATGTGAGATCATTGGTGTGCCGATCAAGTTGATGATCCTGCTGACCAATGTGTATCTGAAGTTTTGAGGATCAATCCAGTGGAGTGGAACATTGACAGAGAACAAGTACAGTTCTGTGCTGTGTGTGTACCATGATGATCAGTCCTATGCTGTGATGACAAGTCCTATGCTGTGATAACAAGTCCTATGCTGTGATAGCAAGTCCTATGCTGTGATGACCAGTCCTCTACTATGATCATCAGTCCTATGTTATGAGTATCAGTCCTATGCTATGATGATCGTCCTGTGCTACGATCATCAGTCCTGTTCCCACGATGATCAGTCCTGTGCCATGATGGCCAGTGCTACTCTATGATGACCAGTCCTGTGCATGATGATGACCAGTGGTATGCGATGACGATGACCAGTGCTATGCGATGACGATGACCAGTGCTATGTGATACTGATGACCAGTGGTATGCGATGATGATGACCAGTGCTATGCGATGATGATGACCAGTGGTATGTAATACTGATGACCAGTGCTATGTGATAATGATGACCAGTGCTATGTGATAATGATGACCAGTGCTATGCGATGATAATGACCAGCCCTATGCCGTGAATCCCCGCGATGACCGGTCCTGTCCCATTATGCCGACCAGCCCTATGCCATTATGATCACTGCATTCTGTACAAGAGTTTAAAGCGGTACACTGGTTGATTTAAGCCATCATCATCACCACCACCATCTGGAGATAACAAAGCGCACTGTTATCGTGAAACGATATACCCCTTCACAGATGTGTGTGTGTGTGTGTGTGTGTGTGTGTGTGTGTGTGTGTGTGTGTCACCATGGCTAAAGTTAGCCTTTCAGTCCAGCAAGACTGACCGTCAGGCACTCGACCAAGTTCGACAAAAAGTAATTAATGTGCAGATGCTCGTGTCCAAAACTGGCTGTATTTAATTAGGTTTGTGAGCGTGATCTGGCCTGAACCCAGGATTTGACAGTCGGGATTCATTTTTCCTGAATGGAGTAAAACCGAAATATGCACACGATTGCTTCGCACATTTCGTGTCGTATTCCATCAACCAAAGGCTGTATTTCTCCGTCCCACTGTTGGTGACATCATTCACATCTTGGTCTGTACCCCCAGCCAAATGCTATCATTTCTTGGCCTACGTTTTCCACACATGAAAAACAACAGAGACCAAAAGGTGATCCTTGTTCCATTTACTGTAACTATAAACAATTATTAATTTGAATAATTTCCTAAGACAACGATCAAAATACCTACTACACATTCGCGTGTATCTTTTTTTGCTTGAATGTATCACTCTACTTGTCTGCATGGTAATAATTTGATCCTTGAGCAAAAACGATCACAATTGCTTCCCCCGTCCCTGTTTCTGCAGCTTGAGAATCTCAGAGAACCGGTGACCATTCACAGCACTCCCTTTGATGTACTTTGAGTATGTGACTTGATTCGTGTTTCACAGCAGCTATTTTCTTCTTACTGCGCTGCAGCGTATTGCTATTATTGTGGTGTGCCGTGAGTTGCTACCTTCAAGTGTGTTTGCTATCTGCGATGTTCATCCACAGTTGGACAGTGTAGGACTTTAAATTTGTCATATTTTTTTGCATTTTTTTGCTTACAGCCATGGCTGACTATCGCCCCCCCCCCCCCCCCCCCTCCGTATTTGCCTCTATTCTCTGGCTACGGGAAGGTGAAATAAATAAATAAATAAATGCAGCAATTCCCTCTCGGGTTGTTACTCATGGCAACGCAGCGCTTATGGAGTGATTGTGTGAGGGCTTGATGTTTCTCTGGACCTGGTATACCCCCCTCCTGCATGCATGTTCCCATGCCTCGGTCACATTTCACACTGCCATAATATTGTGCTTCGACGTTGCCGTGAGTTACTTGAACTTGCTTTCTCATTTCATCTGGGTCTGAGGTTTTGCTGCCATGCCATTGGCCCACCACGGGCGCAATTTGCCGGCCTGAGTGTTTTTGGTAATGCGTCCACTGAACACAGAATCTCCATAAGTCCAATACGGCCTGTAGGCTGGTAGGGTGGGGATGGTGGCTTTCCAGCTTCTGAACCAAACTCTTGCCAATATTTTCAGAAAAGCTTCGAAAAAATGTCCAGAAACCTGTTTTGGCCGAGTACGGGGTCAACAGCTAGTAACATGTGTACTCCTTGTGACAAATCTGTACTCAGGCAGTAGAGAAGCAACACCAAACAATGCATACAAATTCTGTCTGCAGGGCATTATTCGTACTTCGAAGTATTCTTTCAAAGTCTGCTAATGATGTCCCTCCTGTTCATGTCACGTGTATGCCCTGCAAGACCCTGATGTCACTCTAAACGTTTGTGACATCATCGAGGCTCTCGCAAGATGAATAATTTCTCTGCTGTTCACACGCATCGTCTGGAGACAAAGTCTTGGTCACACAATGCGCAGCCTATGCAGGCAGGCCCCTTGATCTTCATTGCAAAAAGCTCAGTCAGCAGATTCGAACCTAAGCCCACATCAACTCACCACTGCTTCTCAAACATCTCAGGATCCACTAGACTACATGAGCCAGTTGGCATTCATAGTTGCTGAACAGATACATGAAGCCTTGAAGCTAATCGTTCATGAAAATAGTCCGCATATTTCAAAACGCCAATGACGACACCACCACCACCACCACCACCACCACCACCAACAACAACAACAACCACAACAACAACAACCACAACAACAACAACCACAACAACAACAACAACAACAACAACAACAACAACAACAACAACAACAACAACTCTCTTATTGGCCACTGGCTATCGAGAGAATAAAGATTTGAAACAAAAATAAATGGATATTATGACAGTAGTGATGGCAAAGTCGCTAATAACACAAGACCAGGGAGCAAGCAGCATGCAATCAGGAACAAAGCCTGCAGAGCCCCAAATTTTCAAAACGGGGAGACAGGCGATAGAGATGTCGCTAGATCGCATCTGTTAAAGGCTAAAGAGTGCACCTAGCCACATTTGAGCAGTGGTCGTTTGCGCTAGCCATGGCCACCATACGACGAAGGTAACAAAAGCGAAAAAGTGGCAGGAGAAATCGCCATGCAGTTGACATGAATCACCAGGGAATATAATATATTTGTCCACTAAACATTCTAAATCGTCCACACGAGTTCTCCGATAGTTCCATCTGTCCAAATGCGCAGCGCACGCTCATTCAGGTCAAACATGGTGGCCTTTTCAAAGAGCAGCCACTGGGTTTCACCACGACCCATAGGAAACAGGATGTACATTGGAGAATCGCTGCCACAGTCCTTTTCGTCCTCAATGCATACCAAGCAGCTGTTTATCACAGTCAGTTCGAATCTGTCTATTTCCGGCTTCGGTAAAATAGCGTTGCTCCATTCCTGGTCAAGCAAGGCATGCGATAGGCTCGCGGAGTGAATTTTGTCTTCTTCATAGGAACGTATGACGACATGCAGATAGCCACCGTACACCACACAGGATGAATAGTGGAAAGTGTCCACCTTGCAGTGACCCCCGAGTCTTGGCCCGTAGACCCACGGCGAGTATTGTTTGGTCAGGTCCAAGGCATAGACATTGTGTTTGACGTGCACCAATTGCTGTGGACTATCTCCAGCTCCCAGGACATACAGCTGATTCTCATGGATAGTTGCGGCGTATAACTTCCGGAATTCAGGCAAATCAGTGACTCTCCGCCACTTGTCGTCTTTCTGGAGCTGATAAACAACACCTTCACCAGTTTGCCAAAAAGTAATAAGTATATAGAGACTTTGAGTATCCGCTACAGCGTATATTCTATGTTTCGCGTTGCCATGAGCAGAGTTGAGGGCACCCGGCAAGATGGCTGCGGTCCAGTTGGACCCAGAAAGATTGCCCGAATCTGCGCTGGCCAGAATCCAAGTGTCGTGCTTATCAGCTAGGGTGACGTAGGCTTTTCCTCGGTGATGCATCATTTGCCCCATCCAAGCCACGTGAATACCACCGATCATGCTTGGGAGCCTGCCAAGGTACTTCCACTGCAGAAAACGAGGCAAAAAACACCGTCTTTAAATTTGTTGCAAGTATGGTTTCAGCATCATAATTTTTGACCCGCAAAGCGATCAACACACCAGCACAGCACAATCAGTCAAGAAAATCATAGCATGGTTAACGGGAACTACAAGTGCCCTACATTGCATGTAAAAGGGCTCGGTCACTTCAACTACGCCTCACGGAATCAAGTGGAACGCTAGCCTCCGTACTCGTAGTCTCGGTAAGGAGCAATTCCAAAGAGAAGCACTGCAGCCGCAAGCCATCGATGATTCATGTGATGCATGGGCAGTACTCATTTTGCACAAGATCATAATAATTTCAGCACCAATACATTCCAGTGGCACTCAAACTCGGGACAGCTATCTGTTTCGACGCTGTTGAACTCTTCACTTGAGATCAGAGTGACTGACCAAAGTGAGTGCACCAAGGACTTTTGAACAACAAAGCATCAGTCGGGGATGTGAACTGACTGAAACGCGAAAAAAAGCGCCTACGCCACCTGGACTCGAACCGAGGATCTTGCCTGTCATGAGCAATGCTCTTACCATCTGAGCTATGGGACCAGGTCGAACCTAGAAGTTTACTTTGCCGACTGATCGTTTGAATTTGAAGTTTTCCCAAGCCCATACGAATAAAGCATTGTTTTGTTTTATGAAATCAGTAGAGGCCCTTCTGTACGTGAAACGTAGAGAAACCCCGTGGAGAGCAGGTGTCCGGGTAGAGTCTGCAGCTTCGCGTATTTTGGGTCCAGATTTCTACGCGTAGATGAGGCTCTCTACGTTGTGGTACATGCAAAGGAAAAAATTAGAAAATGAGTACGGATCTGCTGGGTATCGTTCAAATGCAGGCAGAAAACTGCCAAAAATATGGTAGGGGAAATTCCCAGTACACATTTCAAGTGATTTCCCTACGCGAACCTAGAGCAAAACAGGGTTTCTTTACGTTACGGGAACGCAAAGAGAGTTCCCGGGATTCTCCGCGTGACGTTCCGGTAACGTAGAGCAGAACATCTCCAGTTGAAGGCATCAACACAGTCAGAGTGTAGTGTTTAGAGAACACTGCGTTCACAGCAATGCAGATGACATACAGATATTCCTAGAGTGACGTGAGCTGATCCAATGTGCCCGTCGCGAGGGGGGGGGGGCATAAGGCCGCACAGAAAAGTCCTTTGTGTCGGGTAACCCGACCAACCCATGTTTTGAGCGCCGAACGATATTCTTGCATGCAGTACACGCATTCATGTGCTTGTAAAATTAATGTAAGTGCGCGCACTTCGCAGTGTGCCAGGCCCAAGGCTCTTCCTTTCTGGCTCTGGCGGGACATTTCAGTCATTTGTGCCGAGTTGACTCGACTGAGTCGGTTTTGCTGCAGGGCGGCTGTAGCTGCCAAATGTAACTTTTCGACAATGGCATTTTTTGGTATAGAAACTCCAGTGGCAAAACAATTCTGTCACTATCGTTGACGGCGGCCGGACCGTCGTGAACAGCTGCTGCATTATCATGAAGGATTGTACCCCGAGCAGTTTGTAGGAAACTCTTTATGCAGAAGGAATAGCGTGCCTTGCTTTAATTAAAGCAGTGTTTGCTGCCTCCATCGAAACCGGGTCAAGCCGCAACGATGCTGACAAGAGTGATAATGTTGAACTTCATTTGGAGTTCGGACGCTAGCCATTCTCTTTCTTTACGTTTACGTTGAAGCAGCAGGAAGCTGTAGTTTCTGGCACGCGACGGTCGCTAAACAACATGTTGATGCGCAACGTCTCGGAACTCTGCACTGTTGGGTATCTGAGTATGATCACGGTCCAGTTTGACTGTTCCTGGCTGTCCGACTGAGCTGTTGACTGAGAATGCTATGTACTCCTGCTTTATTGACCACACATTTTGTATCTGGGAGAGCTGTGTACAGTCGATCCACATAATTATGTGCATACTGTGAACCCAGAAATCCTGAAACATTCGCGATGGGTGTGACATCACGAAAGTAAGTGGGCGCAAAACGCGATACTCTAGACTTGAGTCGATCATCAAATTGACTCCAATTGCAAACATTTGCAGGAGCAAAATGGTCTGTCATCGAAATTCGCGAACTAAAACGGGCGTAATCGATACAGGGCTCGCAGCATATCGGTAATTGGATCTGGCTTGCAGATAGGCCTTTCCCAAATCGGCCATTTATTTTGGCTTATTCGGCTTTTCGATCGGCTGAAAAATCACCAGAATCGGCTGAAAATTTCAGTAAAATGTGGAAATTCGGCTCTAAAGTCGCAGCCACCTTTCGCAGATAATGGCTACAGAAATTGTATTTGCATGCTATTGAGGCACTAAAACATCAATTTTCGGCGAATTGAGTGCGAAAATTGCGTATTCGGCTAAAAGATTGGTGATTTCTTCAAAACCACTATTTTCGGCCAATGTTTCGCCCGGCCGATTTGGGAAATGCCCACGGGCCGTGACGCAGGCGCGCACGAGCGGTCATGCCCAGTTGCCCACGACCCTGCTAAACATGTATATTCGGCGATTTCTTGGTAAAATCTCAGAATTCGGCCAAAAGATCGGCGATTTTCTGAAAAGGCTATTTTACGGCCCGCCGATTAGGGAACGGCCTACTTGCAGAAAAGATCAGCAAAAAAGGAAAGAAAGCCGTACGACTGATAAGTATTTTTCTGGCCAACTTACCCGAAATAAAAAACTTTTTCAGTACGGCCTAATCTTTTTTTATTTTCGCCAAAATGTTTCAAGTAAAAAAAATACAAAAAAAGAAGTGGGATTTGCCAACTCGCATTGTCAGACAACCGCTCTATTCAGTTGCTATTCACTCTTCTTTTATGATGCAGTTGCGTGAAGTCCTTAACCTGCTTTCTATGAATACAGTCCAAATAATCCTTGTCACTGCTTACCAATGGAATGTTGACTTTAGTTCTTCTGGGCTTTGGACCGATGAGAAGTGCATAGCGAGCGTACAGGCCAAGGCTTTCGGAACATGCCAGTTGAAGTACAATGCGTCTCATGAACCGTGCTCTTCCCGCTTGCTCGGTGACCTGGCGTTCCGTCTGCTCCAGAAGATGCTTCACTTTATCAATTACCTTTGCCAGTTCTTTCGTTGAAATGCGCCGCCAATTCGCATTAGAAAGGTGCACAGAAACACGGAGTTCCCCTCTGACGGCATGCAACTCTTCACTTTGCTGTTGCACTTTCTTGAATAAGGAATGGTTCCGTGCGGCAGCCTGTTTGCAGAGCTCGACAAGATATATTCCGTCTTTGCAGTTTGCATTCACTCTTGCTTCCAGAGCAGTTATCTGTGAGTCATTCCAATGAAATTCGTCCCAGTGGTGCTGTTTCATGCGAGCCAGTTCTCCGTTAAAGTCTGCTAGCAAGGTCATCAAATTCTGGCTCTGCTGGTGTAAGAAGTTGTCCAAGAGTTCAGCCTTATCCGGATCGGCTAAAAGCCTGCGCATCTCTGTCGCCACGTTCTCCTCTTCTCGTGAATCACGTGACGTGCTTGGGGGTGTGCGACTTGGATCCTCGATGGATGTCGACACACCAGCGACATCGTCCAACATCACTTGATCCCATGCTTGCTCAGGTTGCTCACTAAGTTTCTTGTACCGGATTTCAATTGATATTTCAACAGCCACAGCAAGACGAATGTAAGTGGCGCTTGGACGATGAGCTGGATTCCCTAGTAAGCACTTGCTGATGACGCTGTGGAGTGAATGATCGGAACCAAGATCTTCGAGATCCTTCCTTCTGCCATCGTGCATTAGTTGGCAGATGTTTGGAGGTTCTCTGTGAACACACATGCTGAGCATTGATACGCCAAATGAATAGCAGTCGCTTGCACTCTCAACTCTTCTCCTGCTGTGTTCACCTGCTCTGGAAATCTCATCGCACTCAGGTGCTAGGTACGTGACTGATTCAGAGTTCATAGATATAAGCTGTGCATCTCCACTGTCCAACAACTCAGCCAATCGACTAACATGCACGATTCTGGCCTGCAACTCCAAACCAGCAGGCGTCGCCATCTCCCACAACAGAATAGTGTACAGATTGAGATAACCAATGACAATACCGCAGCCGTGCACGTACTCCAAAGCAGAAGACACTCCGAGAGCGATAATCGCTTCTTCCAAAGCGGATAGAGCCGACTCTGGGGTGCAGTGCTTTCGCAAAGTCTGCGTGGAATACTCCATTACGGTATTGGGTGCATGCCTAAAGCGAGTAAAGGTCACAGTCACCGTCCCCAACAGCTCAATGATAGTCAAACGAGGCTCTAGCCCTTTCAGTGCCCCAAACTCACGCCAAAATTGCAGCGGCCGGCTTGTGAATTCTCCATGTTCGCCGTGGAGCAAACGTGGACGACGGGGTTGTGCTCTTGTCACAGATGTGGTACGATGGGCACTTGAACACGCTGCTCCGAACGTACCCGCCGGGCTCCTCCGCCGAAACATACCGGGCCATAGGTAATTTGAAATGTAAGGAACCAACACAAAAAACAACAATAACACCAACAACAACATTCCCATGCAGGTGCTAGGTGGAGGATCCTAGGAAGCAAAGGCTACAATATCTTTTCAAGACTTCAAAATGGACTTCATTCGCTTCCTTGTCATTGGACATGTGTTATTGTTCAGTCCGTTCGGTTTGCGAATTCAAATAAACACAACCAACAACCAGTTATACCTCACTGTACGTACATGTAGATCTACACGTAGCTCGGATCCTCGGAAAACTAGCGCTATCTAGCCAGGCTGAGCTCGATCATGTACTTTTCAACGCGTTGACGTGCGAAAACTAGGCCGCCGTGTAAACTAATATGCCGGAATTTTTTTGAGCATTTTCGGTACAATCCGCGAACCCAGCACTTTGGGCTCGTGATGCAGCATTTTGGGGGAAACGGAGCACTTGGCCGTTGTGTATCAATATAATAATTGAGAGAAGAAAACTGACTTCCCAAACAAGAACGTCACTTCCGCATTCCGTGGGTTAGCTTCTTGTTGAGTTGTTTATGAATTGTTTACCATGGCAGACTCGAGCAAATCTCTTATTGAGTATTTTCTGACTCCCTGGTTTTGACGGCGTGTGCTGAGGATGACAAAAAAGTGAGCATTTTCCGAGCATTTTCGGCAAGGTCTGGGAGCATTTTGGGCAAGGTTTACGAGAATTTCCCAAAAGCATTTTCGGCAAAGTTTCGGGCATATTACACCGGGGCCTAGCGAAAACTGTGTAGTGGACATGTCGACAATCTTCGCGGCGCCGGCGGCGGCGGGCATAAAACCGACTCCATCCAGCTGGCGCTTACATAGTCATTGTACTTCGTAGCACTAGATCGACGTCATGTAGGATCTACCGTAAACAATGGTAAAGTCGCGGATAAAAGCCGGGTTTGCAAGCACATCGCGGATAGAAGCCTGAAAATCAAACGGATCAAATGCATTATTATTCAAACTTGCCACGTGATCGTTGCCAGGGTTTGAACCAATCGGAGCGCTCACAGGCAGGGCCTTAACCCCTGAGGCTTGATTGCCAGCTCGACTAGTAGTAGGGATATCACCGTATTTTTTTCTTTCGTAGTAAACCAGGAAAACTGTTTGTTTTCGGGAAGAACTACATTACAGGATATAGCACAGAAAATTTGGATGAAAAATCTTGAAGGATACCAGAGATATGAGGCATCAAAGTCTTACGCCAACCTTCATCATGATGTATGCGGAATGCCATACTGCTGTGGCACCAACAGAGTTTTCCGGAAAGCCTAGCAAACGCTTAGCAACATTACAATGTTGTCAGAATGCTATGAAATCTGGCTTGTAGGTGCAATATAGGTGCAATACAGGTGCAATACAGGTTGGTTAGTCCTAATGTTGACCAAAATAGAATATTTCGGCAAGCAATGACCAATGAGAACGAGCGCGGCGCATGTAGCAACCACCATAGCAACAATGCTAAATCCATTGAACACGAGTTCCATTACTGTACTATGAAATAGACCCTTTGCGCAATAAGCGAGAGGGGTCGAGACGGGGCATGCTGTGCACGCGCTGCACACTTGGCATACAACCAGCATGCATGGTTTGCTGCAGGACGTGATCAAGTTTCCTGTGACAGGCTAGGTTTTCACGGTCCCGACGCGATGTTCATGTATGTACTCCCCAGCCTTTTTTCATTTGAAGTTTTTTTAGTTCTGAAGGAAGAAGTTCCGAAATGCTTTCCAAGGACTGCTGTTGGGTTCTTGTTTGCAGCAACCGTCATCCCTTGTCTAAGAAACCCACTTGTTTTTCCAGGCGTTCCCTAGTGATGCTGGCATTCTACTCTCTTGAATCCTGGCTATCTGGCGAGAAGGGCAGCAGTTTGCTGCGACATCGTTCACAGTCACGGTTTTGCTCGGAATACTTTGTCGATGAAGACAGTCACTTTCATCGTTTTGCGAAGACGCGGAACGTCCTGCCAAGAGACTCTGGAGCTTGAGAGAAAGGCATGACCCATCCCTGTCTTCGCTATTCAAGGAAGATCGACTGCTTGCTGGCGCTGCTCGAGCTGCTGATGTTGAAGTGCAGAGAGACGCAGCCTCATCGCTCAGGCGTGCGGAGAAGGCCATCTGAGTTCGAGCTGTGGCTGTGTGCACGATATGACAGACTTTCACGTTATGCACATAGCCACCAAAGTAAAACTCATGGACACTATCCACGGGCTTCTTCACTAGTACAACTCCATCAGCTCCCTCTTCACTGTCGTCGGCGACTTGCCCCTGCGTTGGAGATGAGCAAGCCTGGTGTGGCACTCACTCTGGGAAACAGAGGTTCATCACTCATCGAGTCATCCACTGGGACGCATGAAATGTTGGGCACGACGACTGTACACTCGAGGAAGTGGTGCCCTTCTTAGTTCTAGGAGCATCAGGGTTCTGCATAGAGAAGTGTTCTCTACATCGACAGAGGAGAGAAGGTAGAGAAAATAAAAATAAATTTCAATCTACAGTAATCCGAAATATCCACTGACTGCGGAAAACTTACCGCTCCAACAACTCCTTCTTTTTCCAGACAGATACGCACCCTCATTCAGCAGAAAACTGTTCAGTTCCTTCACAGGCCATTCTTCATTTGACAGTTCGTCCACGGGTGCCACAGCCATCGATGGCAAACCACTGGACACTCTCTCCTCCATCTCCAAAATGGAAAAATACAGTGTTTCACCATGCTCAACAACGGATACTCTGCACAAAAATCGAAGAGGATGCCCCGTCTCGGATCACGTGACCGTTATTGTGCAAAGGGTCTATTGAAGTGAGCACTGATGGCTAGGCTATGGTTGTATATTATTATTATAGGGCTTGAAAGTGATGACGTCAATCGTCGCTTGGCAACAAAACTGGATCCACTTCGCTTTTTGGATCCACTCGCGTCAAGCTGATTTGATGCTGTTTCCCATACTTTTCGAAGCAGAAAGAAGCGACATTTTGAGAAGAGGCCACTTGAAGAACTGTGGGAGCAATTTTCGATACCTAGTATACTCTTGACCCGGCAGGGCGGCTTCGTATGACCATGGTGCAGTGTTTTGCAGCAGAATGCAACCACAGGACAGAGGATCGCAAGTGCAGCTTCTTCCGATTCCCGGCGAGGGATCCAGAGCGCAGAGAGATATGGAGGAAGATGTGTCGGTAAGGATATGTAGGCAGCCTGTACAGTACCTGGATAGTTTTATCGTGATGTGCTATTCACGCTATGAGTAAATGCTTACCAAGTCTGCTAATGCGTTTTGCTTTGCTGGCGGATGGATGGCGTAACGCTTTTTCACAGTTTGTATTTTGTTCGATCGAGTGGAAGTAATTTTTTCAATTATTTTTTATTTTCCCATAGTTGCAGGGAAGCCTACATGTAGTTGTTCCCATAGGTCTTCAAACATTTGGTTGGTGACGGATGTGCGTAAATATCTACGGCGTGATAAATTCTTCCTCAGATTTTTCTCTTTCATATCCTGCAGGGCATGATTTACTCAAACCCAGAATCAGATGCATAGCAACTCACGTGTGTTACAGTGCATGGCATAAATGAAAGATCAGTGCAGTGTACAATGTAACCTCAAGAGTATATAACTCCCCAAGAGTGTGCAACTCCTGATACCCTTTCTATGGGGTACGTCGACGGCGAAAACTCACATCACGTGCAGTGTCGCAGTTGTACGTTTCCAGCCCGTTTTTAGCGAGCAGCGGAGTAATAAAAAAAATATCTGACAGAAACTCACTGCGGGTATGCAAATCCCCAGCCAAATCATGGCAGATATTCGGATTGCACGCACGCAATCCTTCGTTTGTACGTAGTACGAACGTATCAGAGACACGTGATATGAGTTTTCGCCGTCGGAGACTCCATGTGCAGAGTTGCACACTCTTGGGGGGTTATATACTCTTGGTAACATCAAGAGTACATAACCCTGGGGTTATGTACTCTTGGTAACATGTAGTCTGTGGACTCCACAATCTGTGCAGTCGACTACGTATTTGTGCTACTGTCAGAGTCAGTACCGTACCGAGTGCTCAGAACATGTGGGGTACAGGTACACACTTCACACGACCTTTCGACCGCAATGCATGGCATGCATCGCACATTTTCGTTACACAACCCTGACCTTGAGTCGCAAGTAGGCGTATCTGCGTCGCAAACTGCCATGCGAAGTAGGCGCATCTGCGTCGCAAACTGCCATGCGATATGGGATAAATCATGCCCTGCCGTGCTAACTTATATTTTTGGCAGAACGATTTTGTTTTTAATCAATGATAGCCGTCTAGGCTAAGCTAAACCAAATGAGTACATGAGCAAGACTGTGCAAATCCTTATACAATCATGTAGGTGGCTTTTTATGATGCAATCTATTGTGACTATTTACTATTGTTTCAAGTTATTGAGCAGCTAGCTAAACTCTCCTGGATATTGTTTGCTCTGTACTTTGCAGGCGACAAGACAAGGAGCCAGATGCCAGTTCTCGACTATGTAGCTGTCATTTCAAAGACGGAGATAAAAAGAAGGACCCCACTATATTTCCACGAAATAAGGATAAGGCGTTCGGTTTTCAGGACCCTGAACCAATGCATAGAAGGTATGTAGTCTAGGTCAATGTAAGAGATTTGTATATTGAACTTGATGTTCTCCTGAAGCGATTTCTAAATTTGTTTTGCCATCCCCCTAAATGAAGTGT